GGTATCACTTCTAAGGTCTGTGGTGCATTGACATGTCATCTTCTTCTTCTGCCCCCCTTCAAAAGCTTGCTTGTTTTGCGTGGCCTCCGTCAATATTTCCCCTGGATCCCATATCATATTCTCCCAAATGACTATGTTCCTCCCCACCCAGATCTGCCACAGGATGAAACACGAAACCACAATATCCTCCTCTTGCGCCCCCATGACCCAGCGCCTGAACCAGTCCTGGAAGCTCAACTCCGGGTCCCTTGCAAAATCGAAACCAAAATGCAACATCTTAAGAGAAGATGGTCCAAAGATTCAATCTGCTCCCCACATATTTGACAAATTGGGGGAACTGTACCCCCCCCCTCTCCCCCTTTCCATAACTCCTCCCCTACTAGACAAGATCCCACTATCACATGCCATAGAAAGAAGGTTATCTTCCTCGGCAGCGGTAGTGCCCTTAGCTTCTTCCAAAACATCTCATCCCCTACCCCTGGACCCCTTTGGTGCATTGGCGTAGACGACAACATCTCCTCTTCTATGTTTGCAGCTAAATGGTATGCCGACTTTATTGAGTACACCTCACAATATTCCAATTCCCAATATGGTGTGTCTTTTACCTCCTCTGTTCCACGGCTTATATGAATAGCAAGAATATGGTTTACCACCTCGTGAGGGAATAAGGATCTCATCATCACCTCCTCCCAATTACCATTTTTCCTAATAAGATCCGCCATAACCATTCCTCTTGCCCCCTCCCTTGCTGGCAATCTTACGAGCAGGTTTGCTATTTTTGAGATCCATTTCTTTTTCATATTTATCGTCCTCCCATTTCCCACCCTCCATTTTAGACCTCCCAGAATCTGGTCCCTGCCCCACAAGATACTCCTCCATCCCCATGTGGCATCCTTTGTTGGTTCCACGTCCCAGAACTTCTTCTTAGAACAGTATCAAGCTTTAAAGAATCTCGCAAACAAAGACGACTTCTCCGTAGCAATCCTCCAAGCCAACTTCCCTACCATTGCCCCTGTTCATAAAGGTCGTTCTTCGCACTCCCAATCCACCTCTCCATTTAGATTTCCAAACTTCCTTCCATGCCTTCCAATGTATTCCTCTTCCGTCCACATCCCTTTTCCATATGAATCTAGCTAGGTATTGGTTGATCTTGTTCGCAATAGAGCATAGCAAGCGGAAAGCCCCCATTGTGTATTGGGACATTGAGCTTAAGACATGCTTAGCCAGCACAACTCTTCCTGGAACAGACACATCCTCCACACGCCAACCTTTGATTCTCCTCCTTATTTTTAAAAGTACTTCCTCAAACAGTCTGACCTTATTCTTCGAGAAATCCAGGTCCATGCCCAAATATTTTCCGCTTAACAGTTCTTTATTCACATTAAACATGATCTCCATGTACGTTACCATTGAGTCATGAGTGTTTGGGCTAAACAACAATGATGATTTTCAAATTTGATCTTCAGCCTCGTATGTTTAGAAAAGGTATCTAGAACCCTGGCCAGCTGCCTTTCCGTCTCAACCGTATTCTGCATAAAAATAACACAGTCATCTGCAAACATTAGGTAATCCTGGGGCACCTCTTGAGACCTTGATCCCCTTCCGTAGGGGCCAAAACCTTATATTGCTCAATAGTGCCGACAAAGCTTGTTGGTGCAGAACAAAAAGAAATGGCGAAAGGGGGCATCCTTGCCTTAACCCATTGTTCAACACAAACTCATCCGAGACCTAGCCATTGAGACTGACAACCATCCTAACTGTTGATACACACTGCATCACCTATGAACGCCACTTTCTGGGAGAATTCATTCTTTCCATTAAATCCAAGAAGCTTCAGGATATTCTATCATATGCTTTACTCATGTCCAGCTTTAGGACTAGAAAATTTCATTCCCTAGACTTCCTCTTCCTGATGATTTCAAACAGCTCGTGTGGCAGGAGGACATTTTCTGTTATCAGCCTACCAAGGGCGAAAGCAACCTAGTTGTCCGCCACTAACTTGTTGATCACTCTTTTGAGCCTGTTTACCAGTACCTTTGCCACAATCTTGTAGGTCACATTGCAATGGCTTATGGGCCTAAAATCCGCCGCCTCCATAGGATTTGACTTCTTTGGGATGAGCACCAAGAGCGTCTTATTCCAATCCGTCGCCATCCTTTCTTGCTGAAAGAACTGTCTCACTGCAGCAGTAACCTTATCCCCCACAATGTTCTAGTATTCCTGGTAGAAAACTACAGTAGCTCTATCCAGACCAGGCGATTTCCACTTTCCCATTTGGAAGATCGCCATTTTTATCTCCTTTTCTGTTTTTGCTCACCGGTTGAATTCTTTTTCCTTTTCTTTTCTTTTTTTTTAATAGTTTTTTAGTTTTTTTTATTTAATTCTAAACAAATCTTGAAAAATGAAATCATCTTATCCAAAATCATCTTATATGAGTTTTTTTTTTATATATAGTTTTTGAGTTGTTTTTATTAACATTTTTATTATTCTTTACTTGTTTTTTTTTTTACACTTTTTTTTCTAAATACTAAGAAAATTATATATTTGGCATAAATATATATTTAAATATAATAATTTTAAATAAATTATGTAGTGAAATATTAGTGGGACAGTAATAGTGGGGTAGTTGTGGGTCCAAAACTATATAAGTGGTGAGTGTAATATTATTAATTAGAAAGTTGAAAAAAGGAAAAATTGAGTGGAATGCTGATGTGGGACAATGCAGTTATGGAGATGCTCTAAAAAGTCTTGTTTATGATCAATGTTCTATCCCCTCTCCTTCTCTCTAGCGTAGTTTCCTTTGCTTCTGGTTATTTGTACTTTGTACATTTTGCAACTAAAAATAACAGATAAATTCACTAGATTCATGAACTCCTTTTAATTGGTTAAAAAAGAAGGAATTTTCGCTTTGTGACAACCAAATATTGACAACTAAAGTTTCAGAAATTTTACATTTTTCATTGCAAATGATTGGTGTATAAAGTTTCACAAGTCGAAATGATTGCTGTCGTACTGGTATACATCATGTTAATAAACTATCGCGGTGTAAAGCAAAATTATTTTTATGGCATGTCGTGCAAACATGGGCAAAGATAAGGGAGTCACAATACGAATTTTCCAAAAGAGAAACAAATATCTTACTACAGTAGTAAGAGATTGATTATATATAAATTACTTAGAATATTCATCGATGGAGAGATTCAGATTGAGATATTAGACAATAGTGAGAGACCCTGCATATGGTTTAGGTTGAAAAATGAATGGCGGCTAACTATTGTTTATCAAAAGAATTAATGGCTGCCAACTACGTTGAATTTACATTGCTACTACTTTTTATCTGCCATGAACGTTAGCCTTCAAACCTACCCATCTGTAATTTAAAAGAAAAAAAGAAAAAAGAAAACAAGAAAAAGGTACTAATCAATATTCAATACTAATCCAGCAGCCATGGCATATGATCACACGATGTTGAGATCCAATAAGTCTATAAATATTGAAAAAATGTGGACCCTAAATTATTCAACAGATCAAGTGAAGACGATCCGTAAATATATTCTTCGCATTAATTTATTTTTTTAATCTCCATAGTCCTAGCAAGTTGGTACGTAACGGGCCGGTAAACCTAATTAATTAAACCCTATGTCATTTGTTTGAAGATAATTTTGTCTTTGTTGATGTTTTTACAAGTTGTTGTATTTGAAGCAGCGTATTGAAATGTTTAGAGGAAAGGTAGAAATTTCAAAAGTCTCATTCGGGAAGAAGAAGAAGAAGAAGAAACGTGTTTGACATTGATGATTGGATGTTCGTTGGAGCTGTCTGCTGCCATATAGTACCGCATTTTTGTGTAGTTTGTCTGTCCCATGGGCTATGGCCGGAATTAATACGGTCTCTTTCCAGATTAAAAGCCTGCTTATTTAGGTCACCTTTATCTGTGTCGTTAGATTAGCCGAAATAATAGTAATATTTTTTTTACAAATCTCAAGACTCAATAACAGAAAAAGTATATATGAAAATCAATAATTACAGTGATTTATCTTTCACTGTGGTTTGCAAGTTATTCCAGTAGATGTGGGTTTACATATCTCTGGTAGTGTATACGGCGTTATCAAAAAAAATCAATAATTACATTTGTGTATGAAATCAACTTGTGAATATGCAGGTTGCAAGTTCCGGGGAAAAGAAAAGCATGTTTTCAAGCTGGCGGCCAAATTGCGTTTTCACTCTTTTCTCTTGGTGTTTCAACTTTCAACTGGGATTGACTTTCTTGAAAATAAGATCTTTTGACCAAACTTAGGCTAAAATAAACACATAGACGGCAACTCCAACCAAAAATCTTTGTGCGATCTTGCTTACATTTTTCCATTTCTATTATATTATTATACATAATATAGTTGTAAAACTGAGTTATTATAAATATATTATTTTTGATAATGCAAGTGAAGACCAACTAGTCAATTATGGACGTCATTCGGTCAATTAAAAAATATATATATTAAAAGCAGTAGGGAAATATATACCAAGACGTTATTTGATTTTCGTATCCCATACGAGGATGCAAGTAGGTGCAAAATGCAACGCATGATTCATGTACAAAATTAATGCAATAATGAGTACAGTGACACTCCAACTAAACTCTTTCCACTTTTTATTTTTTAGATTTGATTTTAGACATTCCCTCAAAGTTCGATTATCTTTTGTGAAACATCCATCCACTTAAAGAACACAATCATATAGCACGTTAACCCCCTCCATGTGTCTAATTTAATTAATCAAATACTCCTATAGGAAATGCTGAAAAGAAATTAGCGTTAAGCAAGGCCCTAGGATGATGATTCCTCTAGCTATGGAACTTGTTATAGTCGGTATGAGATGATACGTTTGAATCTCACCAAGAACGTTATGAAAACTCAGAATATGATAATTATTGGATCTGAATGCATAATTCGAAAACTTTTACATGTAGAGATTAATTTGCTGAATCACGAGATTTGTAGCGTTAACTAAAACAAAAGAATTAAAAAGTACTATTGATTTTAACCAACTGGATTATGTCGAGCGGACACGGAGTTTTCTTCTAAGCTTCCAAAATTTCTTTAGTTAGTCAAAAAATGCGTTCATTAAACAAATTGGGCAGCCCTTGTTTCTCCGACACGCAGTACAACCTTAGAAGCACATGTCAAATACCTTCTTCCAAATCAAAAAAAAAAAAAAAAAAACTCTTATTTAGATACTTGCAATCTCTCATTCAATCAAACCATTTTCATTTCAGATCAGTCAGTCATTTTGCCTCGTCATCCACGAGAAACCACCACATTTCCTTCAATATGAGATTCAGACACCATCCCTATCATAGAAAAATTTATTAAAAAAAAAATCATCCCACTCCCAAGTCCCAACCATTTAAGTAGAAGAAGAAAAAAATCCTTAGCCCATCAGTGAGAGACCATACCGATCGATCCAATCTAAAACATCAAATATCTCCCATCATTTTCCAACCCTTCTCAAATCTCAACCCACAAACAACTACACTGTACCAACCATGGATTCTTCTTCTTCTCCAACTGATGTTCATCAACCGCTCTTGCAAAATTACAGTGACTCAAATGTTCAAACCTCTAACAATCATCATCATGTAACCAGCGATGAACTGGAGATTACACTGACGAGTTCCGAGCTGACATGGATGCAACGTTACCGGGCGGCGACTTGGATCGAAGCCAAGTACCTGTTCTATCTCGCAGCTCCGGCAATTGTTGGCTACCTCATCAATTACTTCATGTCTATGTCCACCCAAATCTTCTGTGGTCATCTTGGCAATCTCGAACTCGCTGCCAGTTCACTTGGTAACACTGGGATTCAAATTTTCGCTTTCGGCCTAATGGTAAGAAAAACTCTGTATACCTCAATTAACTTGCTTGATGATGGGTTATTTTTTTTATTTTTTTTTCTGATTGGGGCATTTGATCAAACAGCTTGGAATGGGAAGTGCAGTGGAGACATTATGTGGGCAAGCATTCGGGGCAAAGAAATACGATATGCTGGGAGTTTATCTCCAACGATCAACAATCCTGCTCACCGTAACCGGACTTGTTCTGTCTCTGATCTACATCTTCTCCAAACCGATCCTCATCTTCCTGGGCCAATCGCCGGAAATCTCATCGGCGGCGGCCATCTTCGTGTACGGCCTAATCCCACAAATCTTCGCCTACGCCGCCAATTTCCCAATCCAGAAATTCCTGCAGGCACAGAGCATCGTGACCCCGAGCGCGTACATCGCCGGGGCAGCGCTGATTCTGCATCTGGGTCTGAGTTACATCGCGGTTTACAAATTTGGGTTGGGATTATTGGGGGCCTCCTTGGTTCTGAGCGTGACCTGGTGGTTGATTGTTGTGGGTCAATTCGTTTACATCATCAAGAGCGAGAAATGCAGAGAAACCTGGACCGGGTTCAGCTCTCAGGCGTTCACAGGGCTATGGAGTTTCTTCAAATTGTCAGCGGCTTCTGCGGTGATGCTGTGCTTGGAGACTTGGTACTATCAGTTTCTTGTTCTATTGGCTGGATTGCTACCTAACCCTGAAATTGCATTGGACGCACTCTCCATTTGGTACGATTTTTCTGACCTCTTTTTTGAGTTCTCTTTTCCTATTGTTTTCTTATTTTTAGTTATCATCATTGTGTGTGTGTGTTTATTTTTTCGCTTTCTTTTTGGGTAGTTGTTTTTGTTACGTTGTTTTGGCTTGTGTGTTAGATTTTGTCCAAAAGCTATTTCTATGATTTCTTTTTCTTTTTTTTTTATTTTTTGTTTCATCATCTTGGAAAAGTGAGTCTAAGTATTAAATGCTAAAATAATGGCGATCATGCAAGATTTATTGTTCTTAGTATTCAGTAATTAATATGTGCATCAACTTGAATAATAATCTCTTGAGCGAAAATCACATGGGGTCTCAACGAGTTAGGTGATCTACATGTATTAACAATTCAATAGAAAATGCATTTAAAATTAACGAACCGGCAGATATTGTGGAGCTACTTCTACACTATCCGAGAACGTGATTTCAAACTATTGCACTGTTTTTTTTATTTTTTTGGCTGTGTGATTTATTGGGTATCTAAAATATTGGATTTTCTCCGTCTTAAAATTATTAACCTAATTTGTTACAATACACATCAATCAATCGATTTAGAACAAAAGGAGTATAATCAAATGATAATGAAATTTTTAGTGAATTGTTTTAACTAATTACACCTGCAAAATAAGAACACTAATAGCTAGCTAAACTCTATAGGATTTCTTTAAATTATCATCTATCGTTACTTTTTGTACAATTGGATATTTTCTATTGGCAAATGTTTGATGGGCATTGACCGACTAGCTATTGAGGTGGTGATAGTTGATTTTTCCAAATGATCATACCAAAAAGCATTTGTGGGTAATTTGTTAATCTTTGGTAGTGTTTATAACTTATAAGAGATAAGAGAGAATAATATTAGGACCAAGAGAATTATTGTCTTATTTAGTCAATATATTATTAGTACACCGAATATTAATATTGGGACTGAGAGAATAATACTACTATGTCATTGATAGGGATTAAAAAGACTTGTTTTTTGTTTTGTTTTGTAATAACACAATAATAATTGCACCAGCTTCCAAACTAACTATTTTGTTACTGGTCCCCTACGTTATTGAATCGTCATAACTCACCCACTTTGACCCCATCTCTTTTCATGCATTTTTCTTTGGGATAACATTTTCATGCATTCCGTATACATGACGGAGTCCTACCATATTTTGTAACCGTATTATTCAAAATGTTTATAAAGAATTTAACAATGAAATCAATATTAAATTAAAATAATAATTTTATGTGTAAAATTTTTTTATCCTAATTTACCTTGTTAAATATAATTCAAAGAATGAATTATTTTCTGATAGAATATATTTCTATATATAATACTCCCTCCGTCCCATAATTATTGTCCACTTTGCCCAAAAAATTTTGTCCCAAAATTATTATCCAATTTGACGTTTTATAGATCAAGTTACACATTTGTCCTTAGTAAAAAACATTATCCAGAAAAATTTAATGGTTAAACAATTACTTATGTAGGGGTATATCCGGTTGTTTAAGGTAAAATATAGTTAAGTTTGACAAAAAATAAAATCTTTCATTTTAGTAAAACTGGACAATAATTATGGGACGGAGGGAGTAATAATAATAATTGTATGATGTATCATTTCACGCTATCCACAAAGCATTAAAAAAGCTGTGCTGTGTTTTTTGGATGTTTTGCTAAACGACGCAACAAAAGAAGTAACATAAATTTGGTCACTAGATTTTGAACTTAACTTGCTTGTGCCAGATTCCCTTTCACGTTCCAATTACCACACGTTTTCATTCATAAAACACGTAAAAAACGCCACACCATAACAGCAGTTGCCACTTTCTCCAACCAATTATTCCAAAACTTTTCTTTGTATTTTTACATTTTGTAATAGAATACGGACTTTTTATTTTTGTTTTTGTGAAAGAATAATAAAAGGGAGTCAGGAATCTAAGTAGTAAAAAAGCAAGAATGATAATTAAAAAGGTGGAAAGGACTCTTGAGAATTTGTCCCTACTACACAGAGAGGGGATCTACAGTGCTATAAAGTTAATGTATCGCTGGCATGGTGCAGTAATATAAACATTTTAATAAAACAAAAAGATAAAACACGAGTAACTGTATATACTTTAAAAATTTTATACCTCATTGTACAGTATTTACTTATATAAAATACCTACAATCTTCCACTTTTTTCTTTTTTCTTTTCTTGAAGACATATCTTAACTTTCTAACCGCATCCATTGAGAAAAAGATAAAAGAAGAATTGCTTTTAGAAAGGTAATATTTTTAATTATGTATAGTTTGAAGGGAAATTATTAAAAGGGAAAGTAACAAAGAAATTGCAATAATTATTGTGGTAGTGCCGAACTCAGCCTTTTCAACTTTTTCGAGCTGTCCCTAATTTTAAGATATTGTACTTTTTCGAGCTTTGTGATCTCTCCAAAAAATATTGTTGATCATCGGCATTAAAATTATCCATTATTTGGTACTGCATTTTCTTTTTGTTATTACTAATTACTATTTCCTTGTTCAGCAGCTAGCCACTGACTTTAAAAAAATTAATTAATTAATTTTAATTGCAGCACTACTGTTTCTTCATGGGTTTTGATGATCTCTCTGGGATTCAACGCTGCTGCTAGGTAAAGATTTATTTCATTTTCATTCCACTTACCAGTTTGAATTTACATTTTTATTATTTTATTTCGCTGCCTGGTTTACGATTATTTTTCAGTAGGGAACCTAAATTCTGGCTTAATTTTATTTATTTATTTATGTTTTTGGGGGGTATTATCAGTGTTCGAGTAAGCAATGAAGTTGGGGCTGGACATCCAAAATCAGCAGCATTCTCAGTGCTGGTGGTGAATGCCATTTCACTTATCCTCACTTTGATTGCCGCTGTTGTCGTTCTTGCTTTCCGTGACATCATTAGTTACGCCTTCACCGAAGGAGAAACCGTGGCCGCTGCCGTCTCAGATCTTACTCCTCTCCTTGCTTGGACCATCATTCTCAATGGTCTCCAGCCAGTCTTGTCAGGTACAGCTTCTTTCATTTATGATTCTTTTTCTTTTTTGGTTGTCTAAAAAAGAAGAACCATGTTCCCATATTTTACATTAAATGTGTATCACCTTATCTTTTGCTCATCCTTCCGCGTCGAAATAATTGTGTAGTTTATCGCACCATTAAATATATATAAAAAAGAAAAAATAATAGATAACTCAGTATGTCTGTACATTGCAAAGTATAAGTGTAGGTGTGCATGACACGACTACTGCTATAATAATCTAATGAAATGTAAGGAGCACTTTATTTGGTAATGAAGTATTAATCTAAAGTACTATTGAATTTGTTTGACTTTGTAAGTTGTGGTGAATAACGATTGTTCTAAGTTAAAGTAATTCAGACACAATGAATGATCTAAGGCCTTTCTCTTTTCCAAGAAATCACTCACAAGTTGATAGTATAATACTACTAGTAGTATATTCCTCGAGTCACTGGATATACAATATGGTCTGACGACATGCATGTATGCTACTGTATAGGGTGGAGTGGGACTTTTTTGGGAAAGTAAGAAAACTGTGAAGTACCCAAAAATAGAGTACAACTTGATTTGTGATTTTTATATTTGTCTTAAAAAAATTCAGCAATCTCATAAAATAAGTTATCGATTATTTGTGTTTTTTTATTTATTCAATTCATTGAAATTTGTTACATCTTTTTCTGCTTCCCGAGTTTAATTTTTTTTTTTTAAATTTTAAAAAAAAAATCAAATATATGATGAAGGTGTGGCTGTTGGATGCGGATGGCAAACCTTTGTTGCGTATGTGAACGTGGGATGTTATTATTTTGTTGGAATTCCACTGGGTTCACTTTTGGGCTTCTACTTCAACCTTGGAGCTAAGGTGAGTTCAGATTTGTCCAATTTAGTACTACAACTAGTCAAGTTCAAGCATATATACATGTTTGGTTCTGTAAACCCTGTTGATTCTATCACTAGTGCGCATAATATGACAGAGACCATGAATTAAGAGAGACAGATCGAATCATATCTGTTTTTCACGATGATTTTAACAATTCTTGATGGTGTCTAGTTACGGTTTCTTAACGTTTTTAATCTACTGCCAAATTTGTAGGGAATATGGTCCGGAATGATTGGTGGTACCTTGATGCAAACAGTTATTTTGCTGTGGGTCACAATTCGAACTGATTGGAACAAGGAGGTAAAATGATCATCCCGCTAATTGTCAATTGATTACTATTTGGGACGGAGGGAGTATAAACTAATAGCGCTGTTAATGAATGTAACATTAATTTTCTTTTTAATGCTTTTGCAGGTTGAAACAGCTTCTAGGAGATTAGACACATGGGATGACAAGGAAGAAGAACCACTTCTCAAATGAAAAAACTAAGTACATTAACGGTTAAATATGTTTTTGTGTTGGACATCAATGAAGTCCTGAAGAAAAATTATAGGCTCAAGAAAGAGAAGAAAAATCTTGAGAGTTTACCCTCATCATTCCCATTGGTCATGTTGAGAGGACATAAAATAACTAGGTTTTGAGCATGATTTGTTGTGGCCTAGCTACATAATTAGATTTTTGGTTTCCACGATTGTTTAATTTTAATTAATGAGAAATTTTGATCGTTATATATATATATATATATAGATTTCTCTTATCAATTTTGATTCGAGGGCAAGAAAAAAGAGTAAGTAGCTGTAATTGAATTTATTTATTATTTTTCCCCTTTGTAAGTGTTCATCACTTCTTAAACGTCTGATTTGTTTTTCTTTTGTAGTTGCCTTATTTATAGTAGAGTTATCATTTAAATTAGATAGTGTATATACGTATATGGACTTTTTTTTGGAAACAAAAACAAGGAGATAATAAAAAACGATTACATATATCACTCAAACTATGGACTTTGACATATACTACCTCATTTTGATACTCCTTTCAGAATAATCCAAACTCAGCTAGTCCACTTCAATTTTTGATACTATGCCTGAAGTATAACAATTAAACTACTTAAACCAAGCTATCATCTTAATTTATTATAGTTTGAAAAACGTCAATTTTATGGAACCACTCAAACTAAAGTAGTCTCTTTGAGTTCTTCTTAATTAGAGGGATTGAAGTTAATTTGCCAAAGTATGAGTTCAACGAATGCTTAAGTAGTTTGATTGAGAATCTCATTTTATGGCGGGAATAATGATGGTTCCCGAGACTCATTTAACCACCACAAACTCCCACTTGAATCCTTTTTTGGTTGTAGGAGCAGAAGCCATGAGAAAACACGAAAAATCGGCACCTATCATTTAGATTAATCGTAATTATTTATATTTTTAGCATGTATTGACTGGCTTAGATAAATTTTCATAAAACTTTTTTTCCTTACAATTTTTTTGGTTATTGAATACTTCTAAAACAAAGTTATTTGTTCTTTAATTTTCAATATCAACGAGACCATGTATCAAAAAAGGGTGAATGCAACTTATATATTTATTATAGAACTTATAAAATCTAATAAATACCCAATATCTAAACAAACACATAAAATGCTACTGTCACACTAGTGCTAGATAATCTAAAACCACAAAATTTAAAGGGCCCGGCCTGGGTACCCTATATAAAACTCTTAAAGTACTTCCCACGAGTCACACCTGCTTTTTTCTTTTCTGTCTTTTACTATATCAACAGTAGCCAAACCGTCTTAAATTAAAACCATCCTCACATACTAAAACTTTCCATTAGTTCCTCCAAATTTGATCTTTCTTTTTTCTTCCCTCCTCCCATACTAATTGTTCCATTCATGGATCGCTCATCTGATTCCTCAACTCAGCCCTTGTTGCAAAACAATAACAATGCTACTAATACTTCTTCAGGCAAACCATCAAAAAAGAACCATTTGGAAGCCAGCAATGAGCTCGAAGAAGTGTTATCAAACACCGAGCTGCCATTGCTGAAGCGTTTCCGAATGGCGTCGTGGATCGAACTCAGGCTATTGTTTTTCTTGTCCGCACCCGCCATCGCCGTATACTTCATCAACTTCTCCATGTCGACTTCCACCCAGATTTTCTCCGGTCGTCTTGGCAACCTTGAACTCGCTGCTTCTTCTCTTGGCAACAATGGAATTCAGTACTTTGCCTATGGTCTCCTGGTACGAAATGTTTCTTGGCTTAATTTCTTTTTCTCATCATAATTTACATGTGCTTTTATCAAAGTAATCAGTAAACCGTAGAGGCGTAGACTAAGAATGCTTGAATCTATACGAAATCAAATCATCTATCTCACTAATTACGTTAATTGCATTGTGTTATTTAAGAGGTAACATGTTATTTATTTACGATTTCTATATGCCAATATAAATTCATTAGCTGTAATTCTACAAAAGGTCTCTATAATTAAACTAAATGGTAACTATCATTAACCAAAATAGAAAAAAAGAAAAATGGTATATCAGCGAGTTTTACACATGAAAAGGTTTCAGAAACATTATACTCTCTATGGTCGTAATTATAAAGTATAAATTAAATTTAAATTTGTGTTTTGTAATCAAAATCAGAGAGAATATGTTTCATAACTCAACTAGTAATCGTCACAACTGATTGATTTTACGTGTAACGATCATACTACACATGAACAATATTGATGAAAAATGTTTTCTTTCTCGAAATCTAACAGCTCGGAATGGGAAGCGCGGTAGAAACGTTATGTGGACAAGCATACGGAGCCAAGAAATTCGAGATGTTAGGAGTTTATCTCCAAAGATCATCGGTACTCTTGTGTCTAACCGGCCTAGCCCTAACAATCCTCTACGCATTCTCAAGACAACTCCTCTTATTCTTAGGCCAATCTCCCCAAATAGCCTCATCCGCGTCCATATTCGTGTACGGCCTGATCCCGCAAATTTTCGCCTACGCCCTAAACTTCCCCATCCAGAAATACATGCAGGCTCAAAGCATTGTGGCACCAAGTGCATACATAGCTGCCGTCGGCCTGGTTCTCCATGTGGGTTTGAGTTGGTTCGTCGTGTTTAAAATCGGGCTAGGTTTGTTGGGCGCGGCCCTGGTGTTGAGCTTCTCGTGGTGGTTCATTGTGGTGGCGCAGTTTGTGTACATTGTGACGAGTGACAGATGTAAGGAGACCTGGACCGGGTTCAGCCCCCTGGCTTTCACCGGTCTTTGGGATTTCTTCAAGTTGTCGGCTGCCTCGGCGATCATGTATTGCTTGGAGTCTTGGTACTTTCAGAGTTTGGTTTTGTTGGCTGGTATGCTCCCTAATCCTGAATTGGCCCTCGATGCTTTGTCCATATGGTAAGCTCTCACACTTATAACTACTCGTTGATGTGATCCATGTTTTAATTTTTTAAGAATTTTTCTGCAATTCGTACTTTTTTACTTCAATAAAATCGATCAGTAACATAACAATCGTGTCTTATGCATTTATATGAAAATTACAAATTCAAATCTCTCACTCACAATAAGATTGTAATACTCTTCGCCTTTGGCCTTAATAAAGTTATTTATTTGCATGTAGATTGGGCTCATAAATATTTGAAACAAAACAAAACATATTTTTTGAAAAAAGTAGAACTTATTTCACTCATTTTGAGTTAGAATAATCATTTTCAGTGAATGCCGAGATGTAATTTTGCTGCAATATGAAAATTCTATACATTTGACTAGAAAAATAAAATATGTAAATAAAAATAATGATAGTAATAGTATTAATTAATACGACAAAATTTTGAGAGATCGACTCTCCTATTAATATATAGTGAGTGCGCCATTATTCTACCATACTGATAGGGATTTAAGAGGCAGGTAAAGACATGAAATCGCATCGTTACATTGAGGAATTACATTCGTGGTATTATTATTGCAATAATCCAAACTATGTTGGACCCCAAGGGCTCAAACACAATTGAATTATGAATATACAGCCAATATTCTGGATCCCTCTTTCCTTTTTGTCCAAGAACAAAAATTGATTTGAAAAGAACTTGCTATCAAAATCATTAGACTCGTTCTCCTTTTTCTTAAAAAAAAAACAAACAAAAAGATGAAAATATCATGAGATAAAATTTCACATTGCTTTAATAATTGAGGTGGTAAAGTTGCTTCAACCCACCTGGTTTCGGTCCCACTTCTTCTTTTTTTTTTTTTTGACCCGGGGGAGAGGAGGAATTAACAAGAAAAAAAATTTTGCAGAGAAATTTAATCCTTTTTCCGTTGGAGTTGCTTGAAATTAAATCTTTTAATGTTTTGGTTTAGCTGAAATATATTGCATCTTCTGTTTATTTGTTTTTTAAAAAAATCAATGGGATAATTATTTTTTTCTTTGAATACAGATAGCAGCAGCACTGAATATGTACAGTTATAGAAATAGAATTAAAACTATAAGCTTTTCTAATCAGAAATGCAGGGTTGGTATATAGTGTGGTCGACGTCATTTCGAAGAAATCCTTTCATAAATTAACAAAATTAATTTCCTCCTGTGTTGCAGCAACACCATATCTGGGTGGATTTTCAACTTCTCAAATGGCTTCAATGCTGCAGCAAGGTAAGTCTTCTTCTTTTCCCACATTTTTCCAAAAAGAAAAAAAGAAATAAACATTGTCAAATATATTCATTCCTTTTTATTTTTGATATAACTGATATATAATTAGAGAATAAACTCTTTCGCCGTATATTAATGTTTTCTAGCATACATTATAGGTGTATTTTATTTTTTTCACTAACACATTAATATGTTCATTAATTTTGTAACTATTTTTATCCTCTCAATTTTTTAATTATTTTTTTAAACAAAATGCAGTGTGAGGGTGAGCAATGAATTGGGAGCAGCGCATCCGAAATCGGCAAAATTCTCTACTATAATTGTGAACTCAATCTCAGTCATCATCGCTGTGATTTGCGCCTTCATCATCCTGGCTCTACGACACGTCATTAGCTATGCTTTCACCGAAGGTCAAGCAGTTTCCGATGCCGTCTCCGATCTTTCCCCGCTTCTTGCCGTCACCATTGTTCTTAACGGAATTCAACCCGTCTTAACAGGTGCATGCTCTCAACCTAAAATATTTAAATGCATATGTATCTGTAACACAACACGTACGATGATACAATCTGAAATATTTAAGTAAAATAATAAACGTTGAACGATACAACACAATATTCTCAATTTTTACTATCTTAAAATATTGAATTATTTATTTTAGTTATAATTTTGGGACGAACAGAGTAAATTAGAAGGATTGCATGTTGTTAATGGTAGTGCAATTGGTTAAAATTATTATGATTGCCTTTTGTAAGGTGTGGCTGTTGGGTGTGGATGGCAAACATTTGTGGCATACGTGAACCTAGCATGTTACTATTTGGTTGGACTACCTTTGGGTGCTGTCATGGGATTCTATTTCAAGCTCGGTGCCAAGGTAATTATTGTTACTATAATAATATACTCGCTTTGAAAAGTTGAAAGTTAGAAGAGCTCGAGTTCCTCGTGCTTGTTTTTTCTCCCCTCGTGTATATTTGGCTTTTAATGTGTGTCAATCAACTTGGTGAACAATCAAATAAGGGAAAGGACAGCAAATAAAAGGGATCCACTTTATGCATGATTGACTTATGCCAGGTTATCATGAGTTAAAATATACATAAAAAATCATCTTAAATTGAAATAATAAAAGTGAATCGAGGACCACTAAAATAGCTTTTTAAATTTATGAATCGAGCAACACTTTTTAATATATAATTTTTTTGTCCTGAAATAATTATTTTATTAGTGATACTTATTTTTTTTCCAGTAATGAGAAATTTGTATGCTAATTTATTGTGTGTGTCAGTATCATTTCCCATTTATGAGATATATAGAATGGCCAAACTATTATAAGAGATAAATGAAACGTATTAATTTTTTTCAAACTCCTAATGATGCATGTATGTATATATATATATATATATATATATATATATATAGGGAATATGGTCGGGGATGTTGGGTGGCACAGTGATGCAGACGATCGTGCTGCTGTGGGTTACTCTTCGAACTGATTGGAATCATGAGGTAATGTATATACTACTTTGTCCAATATATAGTTGTTACAATTATAAGAAATAATATTATCTGAAAAGTCTTCCAAACTTTTCTTTCCTTAAGTAACGATACACACAGTAGAACTATTCATAGAAAATTCGTCGACATATGAAATGGTATGAACAACCTTAATTGGGTTTCCATCTTTAAAGAATATACTCAATCGTTTTGTATTTTCATGTGTCATAAAATCATTTCACTAGATGAATTTAAGTCAATTTTTTTTTAAAAGTAAAAAATAGGATTAACTTTTACGTTGGAAACTGAGAGTCAAAATTATAAATATACAGTATTAAGGTTTCTGTTTGGAAGGTGTTTTTCCTACAGAGTCAACATGTTGATTTGGCACGACTTATTCAACTATAAAAGGTTTAATTTCCTATGTGAATGTGGAATGGTATAGGTAAAGGTGTTATAAACAAAAAAAATTTTCATTGAAACAGTATTCTTGATTGACAAGTTATTTGTTTGCAGGTTAATGTAGCTATGAAGAGATTAGACAAATGGGAGGACAAGGAAGAATCGGTTTTTAAGGGTTGACGATAATTAGTCTGGAAATAGGCGAAGAATTGGCAACTTTGAATTTTTATTTTTGGTTTCCTGGGCAAACTAATTGCAGATTATTATTATGACTCTATTCTGAATTTTTTTAAAAAAATCATTTATTTTCTTGACTGGAAATGGTCACTTCGAAGTGCTATGCCATCGACCAGCATGCCCAACGTATTTTAGCGGAGCCAAGTTTTTTCGTGACCACCGGTTTTCTGCATCAGCCGATGGAATCACGCACACGCTCGTCAAAGTAACAATATGCGTTTCATTTACCGGAAATTTATTAAGTCTCCGTGTGCCAAAAAAAAGTCCATATTAAGTTTAGTACAAATTTGAAAATTCAACCGATTTTTTTTTTTTTTTTGGAACAGCGATAGTATTAAGTTTATTAATACCATAACAATAGTACTAATGCCATAGGTGCATATGCAGTACATTTTCCGCTACTGAATTGATTTTTTTTTTCCCCTTTCGTTCTCTTTATTCAATTTCATTTCCCGCTCCTGATTCTGTTAACTAGCACAAATCAAGGTACTTAATTATCAGATCCTAGTTGACCCAAAATTTGAGGTGGTGGTCTAGTTTTAAATTAGTGTAGGAGTATATAGTTTGATTACCAGTTGTATTGATCTTGAGAAAGTCAACCCGACATTCACAATTGACCATGTCACACCCAAGCTAAAACCATAGGCCATTACTTACTATCATACCATCTTCCGAAATCATTATAGGATTGATGAGAAAACAGAAAACCCAGTTAAGATTGTGTAGAAAAAACTGAATTCAAGAATAATTCACCATAATCATTGTCATAAGTTGATGGCATATATGTTATAGGTAGTAAAGATAATTAGAGAATTCCAGCAGTAGTATTCCCTCCCATCTTTTGTTAGTACAAAACGTCAAATTTATGTCTTCACAATGATTCTTATGGTCGGCGTAATAATTATATATATATGTGTGTGTGTGTGTGTGTGTGTGTGTGTGTTCTGAGAAAATTATTAGTTGCCTCACATGGTACAAATTATCAGAGACACAATTCAAAATGATTCCGAATTCCGAATGTTTCTCCCCAGTCTGTCTGAAATGATGTTAATTAAGCTGCAGGCAACTGGCAAAGGTCAAACCATCCAAACTGATCAATTAATCTTTTTCAATCCTTATATAATTTCTAGGATTCTGCATCATTCTGAATACTAATATTAAGCTTCCTTCCTTCCACCTGGTAAAGCAAATTCTTCATCTCAAATTAACCACCCCCTTTTCTTTTTTAGTTATTTGAATAAGGTTAGAATGAAGGAAGCGATACATAAAAGAAGAGTTGCGGAGAGATGTGAAGGACGGCCAAATGTTGGTGTCGGAAGCGTCGGAAAAGTGAAAGTTCTTATGATGCAAGAATTAGACTCCTCTGTTTCAGTCAACTGTCTCGAGACCCGGAAAAGGACATACACGCTGGCGATCAAGTCGACGGCGAAATCGGGTCGGGAAGCTAGAGCCGGCAAGAAGGTTGTTCACCACATTCAATGTTCGCCGCACCGGATGCCTATGCTGGCATCGGAAGACATTGCCGGCGGGGAAAGAAGTCCGATCAGAAAAGGAGTACTAGCTGAGAGGAGGAGGAGAAGTCAACTTGTGGAAATTGTGGACTTGAAATGTGGGAATCGATTGGGGAAAAGATCGTCTTCTGATCCCATTGCCAGTCAGATCATAAGGCTAAGATTCTCTAAACTTTCGGGTTGATGTTGATCCAGCAAATTATATAGATTATCGTGGTGCTTTCAAGCCAGTTTCGATCTCTATGTACTCCCCTCCGTCTCATAATTATTGTTCAGTATGGATTTTCATTTCTAGTTCAAATTGTACTAAAAGTGAAATCTCAAACTGAACAATAATTTTGGGATAGATGGAGTATATCTTTATGAATTGCATTTCTCCGTTCCTGGGACTACGGAATCTCTGTGTATCTTTACGAATTGTTGACAAAATTTCATGTATATGTATGTATACCACCAATTGTTGGTGCCTTGTGCACATTACAAATGTTACTACTCATTGTCAAACTCACAAGTCACAGCCCTGAATTCAATAATTTGAGTACTAGTTTGTTGACATTTATCTTTTCCTTCCTAGCAAGTGATAAGTAACTTTTGTTGACGTTTTTTTTCCCCTCTTCTTCTCTTGTAATGGATATTTTTGTTCTACACTTGTCTTTTTTATTGGGACAAAGAAAAATAATGAATAATACATGATTCAAAATGACAGTGGGCAAACTGTCGTGAGAAAAAAATCAATCTAACCAATTGACCAAACACTTTAACATTGTTATCAAACAAATTTTTTAAATTTCCACTCAAACTCAAACCCTAAACTAAAAGGGGTGTCAATACAAGTCCTAAGTTTTCTCGAAGCCCACAATCTAACTGGACCAAACTCACCCCCCAAGCCATTGGCAACAAAGAAAATGCTTCCAGCCCGAACGCTACTCCAAGCTTTAAACAGTCCAATCTTTAGGGCCTAACTAACACAAATGGCCTTCCAAAAATATTTGCAGGCCCACGACACTGAAACTTGTCTTTCTTTTCTTTTTCTTTTGAAATGTATTGAGAGTCAAAGGTATACTTGCCGCACCAAAAATGAAATCTCTATGTACATCATTATACATCTAATTCAGCATGAGAGGAGCAGAAGCAACCACCAGATTAAATTAGAGAAAATATTTTTTTTTGAGAAGATTTGAACCTTAATAAACTCATACAACCAAACCTAATCTTATGATCTTATAAAAAATATATATCCCGTTAAACGGATGGTATATAAATTAATCTAGATGGGGGCAAGTCAACTTCTTTGATGGAGTTATAGAGGAATATCAAAGGGCAAAGTGGAATTAAGAAAAAAGAAAACAGTTTATCAACCACATATTGTGCCTTAAACGTGATGCAAATACGTGGGGGGAAAGCCTTTTCTTTATATTCCATGATGACAATGAAGAAAAATGATGTGACAATATTTCTTTGTCAACCAAAACCAAGAGTCAAAATACCACTAGCTTATAGTACCCTATTAGTGGTGTATTTGTGTCTACATCTCCACCCACATTTGGCAAGGAATCCACGTGATTCACAGTTACGAAAAAGGACCCTCACTCTCCTCCCCCCTTGGCCTTATCTTCGCCGTTAATTATTCTCTGCTAAAGGAAATATTAAAAGTGGCACCCACAATTGAGCGGAAGAGACTCTTTCACCCTTAATCATAGGTTACGCTCGAATTTCGTTATGGTAATGGAACAACTTTTTTATGGTTTTTTCATATTTTATTATTATTATCTGTCCCATCCCAACATAGCTTTTTACATTTCCAATGCACCTTTTTACATTCCCAATACAAAAAATACCTAAAAACACATACTAAAAAAACAATCCAAACATACTCTTAAATACTTTGGCCAGCTGTTCCACCCATCGAGGTGCATACAATTCTGCGAAGGAATTAATCACTGTTGCCGACGGTGGACACCCTGCAAATATGAAATATATATATATATATATATATATATATATTAAAAGTGAGCTAATAATATTTGTTTTATTAGGAATAAAATGAAGCTATATTGGGGAAAGAAAATATACCACCGCTTTAATTAGCAACAAGAACAATTCTCACGTTCTCTTTCTATAGATTGTAGGTGCTTATAAAATATTGAAACTTCTTTGCAAATTATCTAGTGAAATTGTTTGGGAAATTAATGATGGCCTAATTAAAGGGGATCATTATTGTTTAAGTAAGTACATATCTTTGTTTAAGTAAGAGGTTACAGAGTGGCAACCCTCCCAGAAGGAGTATTGTCTACAAAATCTAGATTGAGCTATTTCTTGTCTTTACTTAATTTTATATTATATATATTATTATAGTTGTAAGTATCTAATCAAATTGGTAAAAATGTTAAACGTTAAAAAGATATTACCATAAATCAGTAAACATGTTTTAACAAGTTTGTTTATAACAAAAGATCTGGGAGACAAGGTGGGGTGGGCGTGGGACTTTGGGAGGGGTTTACCGGTTTAGGCGGATTATGACTGAAAGGTATCGCGATTAAAAATCTCGACAGGTGCAATTCGGAAAAAGAGAACATATAGAAGGGGAATGAGGAACTGGAGAAAACACGTATGTGAATTAAAATGATTTTCAATTCAAATGTCGTTAAGAAATGACAAAATTTTCAACCCATCTATCACTGTGATGATGTATTAGCAGCCATGCATTTTTTTTTCCAATAAAAAATGAAGGGAAAATGACAGCAATTTTTTTTTTTTTTTGGAGTTTTGGTAGTAGTTCAATAAAGAAAAAAAAAACTGGACATGTATATTTCCTTTTTTTTTATTAAAAAAAAAAAGAGATGAAAAAGAATTAGAAAACACATACCGTGCGGCATTATGATTTCTAATTTGATGTATTATCAAGAGTGACAAATGTACTTTTTTAAATCAACTTCTGTTATGAACATCGACTCGTGTAGTTTCTCTTTTCTTTTATTAGGAACTAGATTAAGAAAAAAAAAATTTATAATCTTTTGAAGTACTGGAGATCTTTTAAATCAAATTCTGATTAAAAAAGATGTAAGAGAGCTTAAAACTTCGGCAGTGCAATTTTCGAAAAGAAAAAGAGAAAGGCAATAAAGAATTAGCAAACAAATGTAACATTTGTGAGGGCTCAAAAAGCTTTCCGCCGCAATTATCATATAATTCCTCCGTCCTACAATTATTGTCCAATTTGAATTTTTATTTCTAATTCAAATTGTACTAAAAGTGAAATTTTCTTGAGGTCATCCATGACTTATATTTAAGCTTATATAGGAGAGTTAAATTATTATTTGGAAGAGCTTAATTTTGTTCATTGATTTTGTAAGAGGTACTACTGTTAATTTGGTTAGTTCACTCCTTGCAAGATTAATTAAGCAACCTATTTAGGTCTATTTCTGGTAAGTACATACATACGTACTACAAAGAGTTTTATGTGATAGTTGAATCCGCAGAACTCGATGTATTTTCTTTGTTCAGAGCGAATTACATTAAGGAACTATCGTTGAACGAAATAATGTAACATCTTCCATGAATTACTCAAATACCAGATCAAAATGAAGGAAATGTGTGACTGATTTCCCGTGTGCATTTTTTTCTATAAAAAAAAAAATAAAGAAAAGAAATTACAAGTGCAATTCAAAAAAGGAATCAATCAGAATCTATTACTTTTTGTTTTCAAATTAAATTAATGCCCTCTCTGTTTTAATATGATTTTTCAATTTAAATTTGTACTTTTAATATATTGTTTTAAAAGTAAAAATCTAAACTAAATAATCACTGCAAGACGGACCAAGTGTAAGAAATGACAAATGTTCACTCTTTCGGTCATTTACTATTGTATATGTATCATTTGTTTTTTTTTTTTCCGTTTTGCCGTAATAAATTATATTTTAAAAAACTCTTAACAAATTCTTGGACATTTTTATCGCTCAGTTTTCTTAATTATCAGAATGAGGAAATATAAGGCAAAATCATTGAAACTTTCGCAAGTTCAACACAAAGAAAAAAAAATAAAAAGAAAGAAAAAGATGGAGGGAAGAAGAATTAGAGAATATCTGATTTTAATTCAAACTAATTTTAAGCCCAATAATAAAAATTCCAAATTATGCAAGTAAACATCAATGTTTTTTTTCTTACTTTCATATGTTCACCAGATCAGTTAAATTAGGCCAGTGCACGCAATCCATGCTAATTTTTATAGTTGTAGATTTAGAGAGGCGAAATAAAATTAGAGATGATCTTTATAGGGTGAATTACTTTCCATGCTATTTTGTGTATAAGATAAACATGGTCAATTAGTAATAATGACATAGTAATTTTCTATCAATTTTATTTACCACATGTTGTATGAATTTTTTTTTTTAATAAAAAATGTGATAGCTAGCTTGGTTAGAACTGGTTTTTGTTGGACAAAACTTCTCATTAGCTGATTATGGTTTTTGTTGGACAAAACTTCTCATTAGCTGATTTGAAAATAGATGATAACTTATGGAAGATCAATTATTAATGATATATATATATATATTCTGGAAATAATAAGAATTTATTTTTTTCCCTTCACTTTTGTAATAAGTATAAATTAGTCCACTTTATAATATGGTATTGACATTGCTGAAGAAGCAACAATCACATGCAACTTGTGATTACATATATTAGTATGGAGCAAACAATTTCAGGCAAGAATAAATTCTTAACTGAGTTTGCAAGACTGTTGGTGATCCCCTTTTTAGTTGTTTTTAATTCCTTTTGTCCACTTCTCCATCCCACTCTCTAAAACAGAGAGGGTATAAGTTAGTACTAATCAAATTGTGGACTTAAAAACGGTGGGGTGTTTTGTCTTGTTGTTTCTTCAGTTCAGACAAGTTCTAACTTGTACTAATTGAAGGGGGATGGACCAATAAGTGGGGTGATTTTCCAGGTAAATTTAATATAATTTGTTTTTGGAATCTTCAAGCCTCAAACAACTCATTTCTGCAGTTAGTTAGCAAAATCGGTTATTATCTATGTCTGCAACATTTGTTTATTCAATCCCATAAATTAATGTGAATCTTGGTGCCAAAAATGTGCATTTGACTAATTGCAATTTGCGCTGTGCTTTATGTTCATCAGCATCTTATGATTTCTTATACACATAATACCTGTTGGCAAATACGTGTTGTTCTTTTATTTTTATTTTTTCGGAGATATATTGATATGGTGTCCATACTTGAGTCGTGTACAAATTCATACTCGAAAATGTAAAAAAAAAAAAAGAATATATATATATATATATATATATTTCTTATCACTTGATCTCAACAAACACTGATGACAAGTAACCAATAAAGTACGTGTTTCCAACGTCTAAACATATACCAAATATGAATTTTAGGGTCTTAAATGCCGTACTCCCTCCGTCCCATAATTATTGTCCAGTTTGGATTTTCGTTTTTAGTTCAAATTGTACTAAAACTGAAATCTTAAACTGAACAATAATTTTGGGACAGATGGAGTATTACATTATGAACTCTAGCTACATAATAATTAATATATAGATAAATAACGAAAATAATTCATTTTGTTAACCAATTCTTTTACTATCACTATTTGGGGTCAGTTGCTTTCCCTTCCTTTCTCTAAGTCTTAGTTTCAAAATAGGTGGCCAAGGTGTGACGAGTTACAAGTATAATCCTTTATTATTTTTTCGGGGGTGAGAAATGAATATATCCCGTGTAATAAAAAGAATATATAGAAACATCAAGATGGCATATAGAATAAATTTGTTTGTAATGGCGTGTTAGAATTCATAATCGCATCTTACGGAAAGGTGATTAGATAAAACTCTTAACCAAAAAACATCAGTTTCAAATTTGTAATTTGGCTGTTCAAAATAATGCATTAGTTAGAGGTGATAGTACTATTACAAAAAAAATCAATGAGACGTCCTATATTTCTGGCATTCTGCAAGTATATGAGGTTGACACACTTTACAGTTTACAGTGTACAAATTTGATGTCAATGGTGCAAGTTGCTGAAGTCATTTCAGCTTTCTGAGGTCCTAACTTAATAATTGCACTTTTGTTTTGATGTGGTATGGTTGTGGGCATTCATTTTTTCCATGTCTTTGGTTTCTTTCTTTCTTTCTTCCTTCCTTTTTTTTTCTCTGGTTTAAAAGATAGAACAACAACTACTTGACTCCAACTCCAAAACCTCTATCTTTCTTGTTTCAATCAGATTGTCAGAATTGGGAAAAACCCATGTTGGAATTCTCAAGTTCTTGCCACAAAATCCATCTACAGGTGAGAAGTACATGTGAAACATATGTGGGATGATCTGAACACAAGAGATAGTTGTTGAAGAAATGGGGCTCAATTTATCTTTTGTAAATAAAACTTTGATGCTATGGCTGCCGGGATTGCTTTGGGTGTTGCCCGCCTTGTTGGTGGTTTGTATAGACACAAATGGGAGTACTTCGAGTGTTGGTGTAAGACCGAAGGAGTTGAACGTTGGAGCTCTTTTCACACTGAATTCAGCCATTGGGAAGGCAGCCAAGCCTGCCCTTTTTGCTGCAATTGATGAGATTAATTCGGATTGGAGCGTTCTGAAAGGCACCAAACTGAATTTGATCTTGCATGACACTAATTGCAGTGGATTTCTTGGGACTGTTGAAGGTAAGATTTCTCTGTTGTTTAAGTATCTGTCTTTCTTTTACCATTAATTTTCTGTCTTCAAAAAATCAAAATGCCAGCATCACTTTAGAGGTCTTATGATGAGTACAAAAATGGCAACATCAAGTCCTCTGTTTCGAGTGTTTGGACGTGTCTTATTAGTGAAGTAAAATAATGTCTGTTTTAGAAAGACTGGAGTCTAATAGTTGGTTATGCATGTGCATTGCGGTTTCTTTTTGTTCTATAAATTGCACACGGTGAAAAAAGGATGAACAATTCTCACTGTATTTAAGGACATTTTAATCTTGTTACTAGAAAAGTTGTAATGGCATGATTTTATTATTCTGAGTTCCATGTTTACCGCTGAACTAGTTTCTTGATCTCTTTCTGCCTTTGCTGCTTGGAAAGACTACAAGATATTTTATCTCTTACTTTTGGGAAGTGATTATTCGATTTTATTGCCGTAGTTCGGAAAATGTTATGCGTTATGCTTCTTCATATAGAATCAGCAGGCTCCATTTCATGGTAAACATTTATGTTTCTTCCCTTTTACATTCTGTGTAGAATATACACTATATAGGTTACTGGTCCACTGAACTATTTGAACTGTAATATTAATTTGTCTGAATGAGACCAGATGACGTTTTCTGTAATGATGATCAAAGGAACATGCGAAGCAATTTACAAAAAGTTCTTCCATTTTAACTCTATTTTTTTTCCTACAAGCACAACAACTCATTCTGTGGGAACTCTCATATTCGCCTAGGATATATTGTTATCTTGAGTAGAATAAGAAAGTCCATCTTGTTGGTCGAAGACTGAACTTTCAATGATAACTGATTATAGCATGTGCAAACATTGATTGAAGTAGAGAAAGCTGAGATATGATGCATCCTCACTTTGTGTAGCTTTGCAGCTGATAGAGAAAGATGTCGTTGCTGCGATCGGTCCACAATCATCTGGAATTGGCCATATTATATCTCATGTTGTTAATGAACTTCATGTACCACTTCTATCCTTTGGGGCGACGGATCCAACTCTTTCAGCTTTGCAGTACCCTTATTTCTTGCGCACAACTGTGAGTGATTACTTTCAGATGTATGCAGCTGCTGATATAGTGGAATATTTTCAATGGAAAGAAGTAATTGCAATCTTCGTTGATGATGATTATGGACGTAATGGGATTTCTATCTTGGGAGATGCACTCGCAAAGAACCGAGCGAAAATATCTTACAAGGCTGCACTTACCCCAGGAGCCACCAGAAGTGAGATGGATGACTTGTTAAATGAAGTGAATTTAATGGAATCACGAGTTTATGTTGTACATGTGAATCCGGATAGTGGTCTCATGCTCTTTTCAGCAGCAAAAAGTCTTGGTATGATGACTTCTGGCTATGTTTGGATTACTACTGATTGGCTTCCTACTGTTTTAGATCTATCTGAAGCACTGCCCCAGGAGACTATGGAACTCATACAAGGTGTTGTTGCTCTGCGTCATCATACACCTGATTCTGATGGCAAAAAGTGGTTTACATCTCAGTGGAAAAATTTGAAGGGTTCAGAAACCTCTAGCTTCAATTCTTATGCACTTTATGCTTATGACTCAGTATGGTTACTGGCTCGCGCACTTGATGTTTTTTTCAACGAAGGGGGGAATATCACCTTCTCTGAGGATCCTAGCTTGCATGACACGAATGGAAGTGCACTTCATTTGACATCCCTCCATGTATTTGATCAAGGGAAGAAATTACTCCAGACACTTCTCTCTATGAACTTCACAGGTTTGACAGGTCTAGTTCGGTTTGATTCAGAAAAGAATTTAATAAATCCTTCATTCGATATTCTCAACGTTGGAGGAACAGGGGTACGAACAATAGGCTATTGGTCTAATCATTCCCATCTTTCTACTGTTGCACCGGAGCTTTTATACATGAAGCCTCCAAATATTTCAGTTAGCAATCAACATCTCTATGGTGTGATATGGCCTGGTGAAGTGACAGAAAAGCCTCGGGGTTGGGTTTTCCCCAACAATGGGAAGCCTCTCAGAATTGCGGTTCCATACCGAGTTACTTATGAGGAATTCGCCACTAAAGACAAAGGACCATCTGGGGTGAGAGGATACTGCATTGATGTATTTGAAGCTGCAGTGAACCTGTTGCCATATGCTGTCCCTCATACTTATATACTGTATGGAGATGGCCGGCGAAATCCCATGTACAGTAATATTGTCTATGATGTTTCACAAAATGTAAGTATTTCTTTCCTCTATTAATCAGCTGGATCAATGTGAACTTAGTGGAACATATTCAATTGAAGGCATAGGTTACTCGTATCATTAACAAGCATATATTCTGACTCCAAATCAGTGTGCTGTAGATGTTATTTGTTTTCCATTTATTGGCTCCTGTGTATTGCTGCTTTTGGGGGTTAGTTGAAATTGAGGAATATTTAATGAATGCTTTGGTGTCATGCTGTTTGCAGACTGTTTACTTGACCATGCCTTGTAGGTATATGACGCAGCTGTTGGGGATATAACGATTACTACTAATAGGACAAGAATTGTAGATTTCACTCAGCCTTATATGGAATCTGGACTAGTAGTAGTTGCTCAAGTCAAAGAGGTTAAATCTAGTCCATGGTCTTTCCTTAGGCCGTTTACCTGGCAAATGTGGTGCGTTAGTGCAGCTTTTTTCCTGTTTGTGGGTGCTGTTGTTTGGATTCTTGAGCACCGGATGAATCACGAGTTTCGTGGTCCACCAAGTCAGCAACTTATCACAATCGTGTGGTTAGTATATCTGTCCAGTGTCTGGAAATTATACCAATAATTGATAAGTACAGGCTTATATTGAAGTTGTTTAAGTTCATTGACACTTTTTTTATGGTTTTTTATTGCATGTAAAACAACTGATTGTATTACTGCTTTTCTTTGGAAATGTCTGTTGCTGGTACAACTCTGCAAATATGAATTCAAAAGATACTTTCAAGACTACATAAATTTCATGAGAAATGGGCTTTTGGGTCATGGTAACATCATGAGTACCTTTCAAAGAGTATCTCTTAAACATATTGAACAGGAAAGCTAGTCTTAATAATTTACTAGATTGTTTTGGCTCTACCTTTATCTTCTATTTGTCATTCTTAGTTCTCTATTAGGAATGTAATCTTATCTGTATGGTTACTGACTGTAATGTGTTTGTTTCAGGTTCAGTTTCTCAACAATGTTTTTCGCACACAGTAAGTAGATTGTGCTCTTCACTCATTGATTCTTCATGATGCCTGAACATATTTGTTTTCATGTATTATCCATGCTTCACCACTTTTTAAAACCTCTTCAATGTTTGAGCAGGGGAGAACACAGTTAGCGCCCTCGGACGTTTAGTGCTCATTTTATGGCTTTGGGTAGTTCTAATCATCAACTCCAGCTATACGGCTAGTTTGACATCAATTCTAACAGTTCAGCAGCTTACATCAAGGGTCAAAGGGATTGACAGTTTGGTTTCCAGTTCAGATCCTATAGGAATCCAGGATGGATCCTTTGCATATAACTACCTCACTGAAGAACTGAATATTGCAGAATCAAGGATTCGAATTCTAAAAAGCCAGAATGATTATACTGATATGCTTGAGAAAGGTCCTAACAACGGTGGTGTTGCTGCTATAGTTGATGAGCTACCATACGTTGAACTGTTCTTGACCAGTACCAAGTGTAACTTCAGAATTGTCGGACAGGAATTTACAAAAAGCGGCTGGGGATTTGTAAGAATCCATTTAATATGCTGCATTTCTCTTTCTTGCTACATGGCACCTTTAAAGTTTAGGAGGCTTCGGAAAATTTTAGACAGCCTACTACCTGACAACCATAAACACATTCCCATCACTTTTTTGGTCTTTTTTCATTAATTATGTCCTTTTTAAAGGGATTTTTACGTTGATCTAATGCCCATTGTTTTTGTACATGTCCAGATATTTCAAAGAGACTCTCCTCTTGGAGTTGATTTGTCTACTGCGATCCTTCAACTATCAGAAAACGGTGATCTTCAAAGAATCCATGACAAATGGTTATCTCGCGATGGATGCTCAGCACAAACAGACCCAATTGACGACAACCAACTCTCTCTTACGAGTTTTTGGGGCTTGTTCTTGATCTGTGGCATCGCGTGCTTTATTGCCCTCATTTTTTTCTCCTGTAGAGTATGCTGTCAATACCGGAGGTTCAACACTGATGGGGATGAACGGGGAATTGAGGATCCTGAATCTCGGGAGACTAATCGACGTAGCAGCATGCGTGCAACTAGCTTCAAGGACTTGATAGAATTCGTGGACAAGAAAGAAACTGAAGTTAAGGAGATGCTTAAGCTTAAGCGTAAGAGCAGCGACCAAAGGCGAGCTTCAAGCACGTGCTCAGATGGGCAGCCAAGCTTAACCCCATGAATCCCTTTTGGGTAATCTATGTTTCTCCACAAATGCAGAACCAATCTTCATTTTGTGGTACAATGTGTTCATGAATGCCTATCAGTCACATACTAGTTATAGCATTTTGACACACAACTTAGGATACTGAAAAGGAAAATGTGTTTGCTACAAAACTTAATTAGTCGGAAAATATACGCCCAATGTGGCCTAGAGAAATGTATATTACCTTTTTGGCATATAGTTGAACCAGAACATAAATTTATTCTTGTCACCTTGCAAACGAACTTTCAATGGATCAGTTAAAAAAAAGAAATGACCACATTTGCCGCTCTATAAATAATGAGGACTACGATTGGAAAATAGTGAAACATGAAGGACCAAAACATAGATTCTTAGTAGGGTCTATGATCATGGTCTCCAAGTCGAGGCGGGACTTAGATTCAAGGAGGTACAACTTGAATTGGATTGTTTGGGAATATGCTGATCTTTAGACTATTGAAGACGATGAGGTCGTTCATAGCAAGGTCTTCTATAGTATTAGAGGCTTATTAAATATGAGGATCGACCTCCGGTTGGAGTTCGTTATCACTACTGTACATAATGTAATATATGGATTACATGTCTCCATAATATTGTAATTTGATAATTTAAGCCTTAGACTACTCTCTCTTTTTCTTTTTAAATTAAAAAAAAAAAAAAGAGATTTTGGTTAATGATGAGTGATCATATTCATCGTGAGCGGAATGAAGTTGCTGACTTAGTAAAGATTGAGTTTTAACGAGGTGGTAAACTCATTAGCAAAGTTTTTTGTTGTTGTTGTTGTTTTTTTTTTTTTTTTAATGTCTGGTTGGATAATTTTCTATCTTTCTGGTTGGACAATTTTCTATCTGTTCATAAATAATTATTAAATTTAGATTTTTTATTTTTAATAAAATTTTATATTAAAAATTAAAATTCTTACTGGATAATTACTTCAAGACAAGAGATTACATTTTATCAATACCTCTTAACACTACATTGAACAATTCCCTATTAAAGTCATGAGGGGGCTTATCTAAAATGAACTCGAAAGCTGAGGCTTCTTTTTTTAAAAAATAAATAAATAAATAAAATTATTATTATTAAAAAGGAATGTCTAAAATTATATATTTATTTGTATGTTATTCTTTTTTCTTTATTTCTTTCTCTTTTTCTTTTTAAAAACAAAGTAAACTTTCATAATTGGATTCAAAACTTCTATTCGGCATTGCTAGTTACTACGATTTTGTCCTAAAATAAGGACATTGCTATTTACAGTTATAAGAATTGCTTATTTATAGTCGTTTGTACTTTTTTGCCCCTAACAAGCAACCTTTTTCCTCAAACTATGAAATTCAAATTAAGTTCTCTTCTTCTTCAACTCCAAAAGAAAAAAAAAACCAAAAAAAATCAAAATTTTAAATTTAAAAACAACAATTATTAGTATTACTCATTTAAATTTCATTAAATTTAAAAAATATAAACAACAAAGATTAATACTTCTCATTTAAAAAAAAAACTAAGTATTGAAAAAATAAAAAATAACTATAACACGAACAAATTGAAAAAAATTAAAAAAAACTGAAAAAATTAAAAAAACAAATTTGGTCCAAGGTAACCGGCTCAAAACCGGCTACTTATGGAGGACCAGCCGGTCCGAAACCGGCTATCCAAGGAGAGGTAGCCGAACCGTAACCGGCTATCCCAGTTACCCAAGGAGAGGTAGCCAAACCGTAACCGGCTATCGATAACCGGTTCGGCTACCTCTCTTTGGGTAGCTGGTTTCGGACCGGCTGGTCCTCCATGGATAGCCGATTTTGGGCTGACTACCTTGGACCAGATTATTTTTAAAATTTCTTTTTTCAATTTTTTAAATTTTTTCAGTTTTTTTTCAATGTTTTTGTGTTATATTCATTTTAGTTTATTTATTATTTTTTCAATACTTAGTTTTTTTAAATGAGTAGTATTAATCTTTGTTGTTCATATTTTTTAAATTTAATTAAATTTAAATGAGTAGTATTAATAATTGTTGTTTATGTAAATGAAATTTAATTCAGTATTTATTATATATTTGTGTTATTGTTATTATTCTTGTTATATTTATTTTATTTTTAATAAATGAATAAGAATTATTAATTAATTTTAATAACTAATGTTTATTATATTTTGTCAAATGTAATTAAATTTATTAAGTTTAATTAGAATTTGAAAATTAATTTAATATTAATTATATTTTTGTTGTGTATTGATTAATATTAATTTGTATGTGAATGAAATTTAATTTAGTAATAATTTAGCAATGAAATTTATATTGGGTGTTTCTCGGCAATCCGCCATTTGTTTAGCTTCCTAATTTTTGTAAATCTAAATTTGAAAGATGGGGGTTTTAGTGAAAGGAGAAGACTAGGAAGAAGAGGAAGAAGAAAGGAAAAGAAAAGGAGGAAGAGGGGCAAAATTATTCTAACGACTATAAGTGAGCCATTTTTATGACTGTAAAAAGTAATTCAGTAAAATAATTATCTAATTTCATTTTCACTTTTAGTATAATTTACACTATAAATGAAAATTAACTTGATAATTACTATTTCAAAACGGAGATAAGTATTTAAGTGAAAAAGTTAGAGAGTAAAAGGGACTTTTAATATTTGATCATGTGGGAGACGAAGTAATTGAATGCTGAGTAATAAAAGAGATAATAAATTATATGGAGATTACTTTTTTTTTAAAAAAAAAAGAGAAAAATTTCATTAAATACGTTGGAAATTAGCCAGCCTGAATTACAAAGAAAACTTTGCCGAAAACTAAGTCATAACATCATTAACCTCTGACTTAGAATAACAAAATACTAGATTTTGGACCCGTGCCTTCGCACGGGTATATAACTTTTTTTTTTGGACCTATATAAATATTTTTAAACCGGAGTTAAAAAAAATAGCAAACGTGACATGTTATTTAATTATGGAATAAATCTATCTTCAGTGCAATAGATACACCACGTCAGTTTGTACATCCCGACACAAATAAGGGAATGACACTTATTTTACAGGAGAGAGAATAATATATATGGCTAAAAAAAATACTAATATTATTTCCTATTGGTTGAGTGCGCTAAAATGGTGCATACATTTGGTGTATGTTAGATTTTCTTTAGTTGCGCCTAATAAAATTATGTAATTATGTAATAATTATTAACAATCATTGATTAATATATTATTATTGCACTAATTATTAATGTCAATGAATTGAAAAAAAATTCTAAATAAAGAATTCATGAAGAACAGCGTAATCTTGTGTTTTTTTTCTTCCTCAGTTTTCTTCAGGTTAATTCGTGGATACAATTTCTCAATTGCGATAAGACTATTAAATAATGTAAAATTTCTTCGTTCTTTATAACGGTGGAGAATCATGATTAATAATTATTGAAATTCATTGTCATGTGCTTTCACGATGCCAAAAATATCCAATAAAAATGTATAGCAAAAAAATGCTCCTAAAGACCTTAATTGGTCACATCATTCGAGACACTGACAATAACCAATTAGAAATCCATGAATTGCAACTTAATGTCTCAACCTCGTTCATTTTAAAGATCTCAAAATGAATGATTTATTGATCATTTTTTTTGGCTAGATTTACAAATCAGAAATTCTTGGTTACTCTTCTAATTGTTTGATGATTGACCCTACAATTTTGCAGAACGAATGATTAATAGCAACAGACAAAGCGTAATTTTATTATGCACCTGAATTGTTATGGAAAAGCAAAAAGTATTTCTTCATCCAATTTTTTTATTTTATTTTTTTTTTATTTTTATGAACGAATGAGAAATAAAAGTTGAAGAAGCTTACTTGAGGCATTTTGCTATTATTCTATCAGACTATATTTTCCCCTCGTAACATTTCTAATTGGGTAAATCGAAAGAACATTAAAGTATTAGTACTTCTTTTTGGTTCAAAATATCAAGGTATAACTTTCATACATAGTTTCACACATCATAAAAATCATGCTTCTAATTTCAACATTCACAAAGAAAATCTAATCAAAATTTTATTAATTAAATAATTGAGTAAAGTTATTAAGATTTGAGTTCCATTTAGGTCCAAATTTTCTTAAAATTGGAGAAAATTTGTGTTCTTAAGGCATATTAAAAAAGATTATCGCAGAGAGAAAAAAAAAAGAAAAAAAAAAAAGCCAACCTCAATCACAACCGCAGGAGTTCCGACATTCTTTCGTTGCCGAAGCCATCCTTTGTAAAATTTTGTGTTGTCGTGGTGTTATCCTTTTTTTTTTTTTGCCAGTATATTCTTTTTGTCTTGTTGCATTTAACGATTCTCTCTTCTTTTTCAGATCTTTAGGAGATGGAGGGTTTTTTTTTTTTTTTGAACTTCATGGAGTTTTTTTTTTTAAAAAAATTCATTCATGGAGGGTTTTTTTCTTCCTTTGGGCAAAAATGTATTTTGATCGTGAGTGGAGTTTGAGAGGATGTTAATTGATGGAGGATTGGTGTTTGTTTTTTTTTTTTGAAAAGTTTTTATTTTTATGAAAAAATATATAATAATATTATCATAAAAAATGAAGAAAAATTTTTTGATGGGAAATTCCCGTTTTTTCTTTTTCTTTTTTTTGGGGGTTGGGTGAGGAGACTTTTAAGCAAAGATGGACATTTAGATTTTTGGGAGAAAAATGAGTTTTGCTATAATGGAGTTATATATATAGACATTTGGATTTGAAAGAAAAATGAATTTTGCTATAATGGTGTTATTATTATTATTAGATAGATTTCATGAACAATGCTATTATCTAAGCAAGGGATTCAATACAAATTATTAAATGATGGCTCAGATAACAGACAACAAATATCATATAACACTCGAATACAAATGCCAACCAAAAAGTCTTCAGCAAAATTAAAAGAAAAAAAGAAGTGGAAGAAATGAATATATTTTGGGGATGAGATATTGTTTGCAACTGCTACCACATTTATACAATATACAATTATTAATATTCTTTCGTTCTGAAATAATTGTTAAGATAAGATTTTTATGTTTAATACAAAATTACAAATTGAATAATCACCAAAAAAAAATTGAGGCCTAAAATATTTTAATATAGAGATATTTTTAAAATCTTGGCCTTTTCCTTTAAAGTGTAACACAACAATGTTGTAGGCATTTTAATATTTTGGACTTAAAGCTTTGCTTCCCTCATTAACACCGCAGCGCCTATTTGTGGTGCTCGACTAACGGATGACGTTCAGATTCAGGCCAAATTCCGGCCACTTGATCACCACGGCACCACTGATTGTGGCATGAATTTCCATCAAATTCAGACCAAATTTGGACAACTTAGCCTCAACCATTGGAGTTATGATTTTGTGATTTGTATTTGCGGTGGCTCCGTGGACGTGGATGGAGGTTTTATAAAGATTTAAAATGTTGTCCTAACAAAGTTTTAGGAATAATTTCTAAAGATTTTTTTGAAACATATGCCATGTGCAAATAACAAGTGCAATCAAACGCAAATAATCGGGTTTGAGGTTGTTTGTACTCCCTCCGTCCCATAATTATTGTCCAGTTAAGTTTTCATTTTTAGTTTAAATTGTACTAAAAGAGAAATCTCAGACTGAACAATAATTTTGGGGCAAAGGGAGTATAACTTTTCGTGTATATATATATATATATATATATATTTTATAATTTGATGATAGATGATAGTAGATGATACTAACACTTTAATAAACTGACAAAATCACCTTAAAATGTTAATGACGGATTGTTCATTGACATTAAAGAAAGTGTTAAACTCAAAGTAACACTAGTAGTTAAGAAGTTAAAAACTTAAAATTACAGTTCCCATTAATAAACTTTTTCATAATAAACTAATACTCCAAAAAGCCAAAAAAACCCATGTGACCCCCTGTTGCTGTTGTGAGTTAAATGATGCTTCTTTGATCCATTTTTCTCGCCGAGATTGATTAAAAGGAGAAGAAAAGCATAATTATTAGATCAACTTTCTCATCCAATTTTATGACATAAGTCCCTTTTTTTTTTCATGGTATTCACTGTAGGTGTTTTAAAAAATCCACCTCAGTAGACTTCACTTAAATGTGGGTAAATCCCCCTTACATAGCTCTTGGTGGGAATTGAACCCAGGTGTCATATCAGAAAGAACAACATCTTAACAAGTAGATTGTCATTCGATTCCCTGGTGTTCATTATAGGTAACAATAACTTTGTAAAAAAAAAAAAAGAAAAGAGTAACAATGTTGTATCTATTCGTTGAATTGTAAATATTTCTACTGAAATATCTCTTTTCGCACATAATTAATTTTCATGAAGTTCTCATATAATGAAATAATGATCACTTTTTTCCCTTATAAGAAACAATATTTATACATCTAAATATATAATCCAAAAATGCCGGCATAAAATAAATAAATAAATGAATAATTACTAGACTTGGCAGCCCACAAATCCAGTCAAACAACAAGGTCCCCATGTCATCACCACACCACACATCATTTTTTGTTGGTTGAAAAATTCAGATTACCAACAAATTTCGAGATTTATTTAATAAAAGAAAAAAAGGGCTAAAAAAAAAAAAAGAAGGATTAAAAAAATATCTGTGTCAAATGAGAGCATTAGGAGCCTAAAAAAGCTTCCATTTTAGGCTTCTAAATGCTCACCTCGAGTTCCTCCATCCCCCAATAACATCATCATCAATTCATTCATTCATTCATCATCAAATCCAAACTCTTTGGAAAAATAAAATAAAATGAATCAGCTAAGCCGTAACATGTTTCACTCCAGCATGAAAAGGGCCTTCTTCTGGCAAATCGCCGTTCTCCGGCAGTGCCTCCGGTCTCTCTGGAACCATGTTCTTGCTTGCTGGATGGGCAAATCCGTGAGCTACAGGCAGTTGCAGCAGAGGATCATTAGTTCCTCGCAGAATTCCGGCGTTCTCAATGGCGGGTTTTCTCCCAAGAACGGGACCTCCGGCCACCGGTTTAGTATCGACAGAGATTTGTCGTCCTCCGACTTGGTTTCCCTCAAGATTAGTCTCCTGGGTGACAGCCAGATTGGAAAAACTAGTTTTCTGGTAAAAGCCCTGTTTTTTGTTTTCTAGTAATTTCAGCAATCTGAGTTTTTTTTATTCGATAACATTTTTCAATCTATCTATTGCAAGGCCGTCTTGTAATTTCTCCTGATTTGTTACATCATCCAATGTACCACGGTCAGAAATTAATGGAGGAGAAACCATGAATTTCTTAGCTGATTCTGGATTTTGATTCAAGATTTTCCGACCCCTGTTTTAGTCATTTTTTTTTTCTGGTGATTGATTCATCATAGGCAAAGTACGTAGGGGGAGAGAATGGAGGAGAGAAATCGGAAATGGCAGGGATAAATCAAATGGACAAGATATTATCAGTAAAAGGTGCTCGGATTTCGTATAGCATGTGGGAAGTAACAGGTAAATGCAATTTTCATTTCCCTCAATCTGCTTGGCTGCTCTGTTTTTGTGTTTCCTTGTGATTTTCCGTAGATTTCTTTGTTGTCGGAAAATCTTTATGAGCAATCTTTACATTTCTGGAGTATATTGTGAAAAATGATGAAAATTTTTTAGTCTTATTCTTCATTTTGTTTTTTGGTGTGTTGGTGATCATGGATGTCATTTACATCATAGTTAAGAATGTATGAAGGTAATGGATAGATAAGAGAGTATATAAAAATTTGAAGGGCATATGTGATAAAACATACTTCTTCCGTCTTAAAATTATTGTACGTTTGAATTTTCACTTTTAGTTCAATCTATACTAAAAATGAAATCCAAACTGAACAATAATTTGGGGAAAGATGAAGTAATTATTAATTCGGAATTTCGAGACATAAATATCCAACATTTAACTCAATTTTTCGTGCTTATATATTTCGTGCTGAAATTTAAACACCTCATAATATATTTAGAGATTGAATTATTCGTTATCAAGTACACTGAAATAGAAAATTTTTACTTTTTATTTATTTCGTGTTATAATTGAACGTTTAAAGAGTGTAATATACCAGGAGAGTGTAACTTGAGAATGTTCAAACTTCTGAGATTAAAAAAAAAGAAAAGAAAAAAAAAAAAGAAGAGGAATATATCTAGAAGGTGACATTCATTGATTAAAGTGACTTTTTTCACCTAAACTAAATGATTATGAAATGTGGTGTTACGTGTTAATAGCAAAACACTAATTGGAAATGGAATAAAATCACATGGATTTGGCAGGAGACAATACTTCACATGCTCACATTCCTGAGGCTTGTAAAGATTCTGTAGCCATCATCTTCATGTTCGATCTCACCAGTCGGTGTACCTTGAATAGGTACTTTCGTACGAAACCCAACCTCTTTATCGTATTCATTCCCACCAAATCATTCATTCATTCATTTTGATTAGTATAATATAATTTTGTCGGACAGTTAATTTCGTTACCATATTAATTAATCCTTTTTTCTTTTCTTTAAAAATATTGCAGTGTCATCAGATGGTACAAACAAGCCAGGAAATGGAATCAGGTAATGGATCTTATTTGTTAGATTTTCAAACTCATTGAAACGGACTAATCTACATTCGAGTCGGGTAGTAAAATTATAGGTTCACTAATCACGACTGATAATGATGTTGGGTTAATGCAGACAGCACTTCCAGTGATGGTAGGAACCAAGTTTGATGAATTCATCCAACTGCCTATAGATTTACAATGGACAATAGCAAACGAGGTAAACACTGTTTCCTTGGCGTAAAAGAGTAGTATAGTTCTTGAGTTATTTTCATTTCTTGTTATGGATCTTTTGATATCTTGCAACCTAATGTCGGGAACCAGGCAAGGACATATGCAAAGGCGATCAATGCGACCCTGTTCTTTTCGAGTGCAACCTACAACATCAATGTGAATAAGATCTTCAAGTTTATTACGGCGAAGCTGTTCAATTTACCTTGGACTGTGGAGCGCAATTTAAACATTGGCGAACCACTAATTGATTTCTAGTGGGTTCTTCTTTTGGGGGATGTTTTTTTTTGTGGAAATTATAGATTAGAAGAAGATAAAGAAAAAAGAGAGAAAAATTCAATCATCAGCCATAAGTCAACCGGGGCACTGGGAAATGTCAATGATGCTAATAGCCAGTGAAACTTCTGAGTTGTTCCCTTCCCTGATCTGATTACTACTCATCATGGGGAGTATGGTTGATCTAATTTGAGCTCCAAGCTCCACTTTTTATGAATTTCTTGTCACTTTTTATTATGGGACAAAAAAGAAAAGAACAGAAACAAATTGTTCTCATTGTGTTCTTTAGAATCAATGTATGCTTCTTTGAGTTCGGTAAAAACAGACAGAACATTAGTCTTACGAACCAAAACAAACTAGTTCCACGTTAAGACAACCAAGTGAAAAACTCCAAAGCAGCTAAACATTTTGCGCTACACAACACAAAGCAGCATTCCCAACATTGAATGGCAAAACATTTACGCAAAGATTTTATTTCAAGCAAAACGAGAAGGTTAAAAGGATAATTCTCTCATGAATGAACGTTCCCCATTACCCATTAGTATATGTGCTCAATGCTACACCATGTCAAACTTGAAGATGTAAAGTACGAGTTTACTCAAGTTTTGCTTCTCTTTTGGGAGGTTCCAAGTCTAAGTATGTATATGGCTCTGTCGGCTCCTCCCTGCAGATGCAGAAACTATATCAACTTTCTCCGCAAGATATGATTTATCTCTCTGTAGAATCTTTTAATGACTAACTAGAATTCAGTTCAAAGTACACAACTCCAGTCAGCCTCAGAAAAGCAACAACAACATAAATCTCAAAAATCATACAGAAATCCTGGGGTATTAAGACAGGTTCACATCTTTGGTATATTAGATGTAATCAATTCTAAATGAAAATTTATTTTTTTCTCCAGTTATAACGAAAAACCAAAACCCAAACTTACCCAGGTTTGGAGCGCATGCACTGCCAGAATAGCTTGAAAGGCCCTGGAACGGTTTTAAAGGGGTTACCCTCGAAGCAAGCCTGCAAAACATTAAAACATTGACTCCAAAGTCAGGAATATCGAGAGAGAAGCAAAAGAAAAGAATAAATATGCTGTATGCGTCAGGGAATAATCTCAGAAAATAAAAATATGGTGTGCAACTGTAGTTAAGGGATGACTTATCCAGTCAAACAAACAACAATATGTAGTTGCTGTAATGATTGAGCTCACATAAATCGAGAAGTAGTCTATAATACACAGCGAGAAACTTTCGGTAAACTTAAACACCAAGTACTATAATTATAAACAAAATGTAAGAACACCAGATTCCATCTTTCTACTCAGCATTAGACACCCAAGTTTATTGTTGCAATGACAAACATGAGTAACTTTTTATTAGCAATGCGGGAAATTCAGCATATGGTAGTCTAACATTTTCACTCTTCAAAGCAATAGCCCTCTTGATTCACAACACAGCAGAACACTGCTATTAATTCTTACAGACATGGTGAAGGCATCTGAAACAGACATCAATACAGTTTACAGCTAGCACAGTTTCTGACATCATTTTCTCAAGAAAATCTATCTGTCCAGTGAGCAAAACTACAATTGCCCTCTATTTCTGGTGTCCAAACCACTCGCCCTGGTTATTTTTACCACCGCAGTTTTATTACACGAGGCAAATGATGTAATCCCCCACCCAAAGAAGGGGGGTGTTAGTTAATCATTTTTTCAACTAAAACGTATTGTATCAATAAAGTGAGCAAACCAACAGAGTCAGGGAAGGGAGATGGTGGTAGGCAGCTCAGTTTTAGCATTTCTTGTTGTCTAACCCCCTACAGTCTCCAATTTTAGTAAGTATACGGGTTAGTAGAATTAATCAAAAGAGTGAACAAGCACAAAACATGTTAGAGGCAAACACTGGAGTACTATGTCCTCCAAATGATTCTCAAGAGGAACTTCTTTTATCAGTTTAAAGGAGTTATTCGTAATTCCAAGCAAGAATGACAGAACTAGGACTGAAAGAAAATGGTGGCACTATGAACAAGCGAGACAATTTTCGAAGGAAACATATAATTAGGTTATCAGCATTGTAAGCAATTCTGCAACTTGACCATTCACCTTGCTTGAAATAGAAACTAAGATGGCAGTGAAAAATGTTGGTTTAGTAGCCATGACAGCAAACAGTCGCAATAAAGTAGCACTTTCTCTTACATTAGTGATTACTGACAATGCTGTGAAGTCCTTAAGTGAACAGCTACAGCACAGTGAAACCAACCAGGCAAGAGCAAATAATCAATATGTGTGCCCCCTAATGGAACAAAAGTAAATTGAACTCATGAAGCCGATGGAATCTAACTGAAATGTCATTCCATTCTAAAAACTTACAGAAAGAGTTCTAGCAAGTACGACGCTCAATCCCACATTTCCCCCAACATGCTTCTAGAAGTACATCAAGACTCAAATTTCAATTTCCCATCATGTTCAAGGACACCTTCCAAAGAGACCTCAGTTACCATGAAAGTATGAGAACAGCCCACGGATTTAAGTTGACCTCTGATGAAAAGTCATAAGACAGCTGCTAAACAGTAAAGACAAGCATATCTAGAAAGCAATTCCAAGCTTTCTCACTATCAATCATTCTTATTGGCATTGCTCGGAAACGATTAGAGGAAATTGAAGCAGTAGAGGTGGACGGATAATATGCCTAACATAAAACCTTTTGTACCTTAGCTGACCACATCTCTCATGTCAGGTACCTTTGGGGCAATTGTGCTAGCCCAGCAAGACTACACAATATTATTTTGAGTACGTGTTCAAACAAAACTTAGCATCAACCAATGACAAGAGGTAAGGCAGTAATCATATCAACTAAGGGCTTCTAGTAGATTATGCATTTGCAGCTTAGCTCCCATAAGTTACATACTTATCAGTTTCCATGGGAGAAACAACAAGCTTAAAAAGGCGAAACCAAACAATCTTTCATCTGAACCAAGAAAATTGCTAGAACCCAACCTTTACCACAAAAAAATCGACAGACAAAAGACGACTTCATTGGACAAACAACTACATAAGGGTACAAAATCTTCTAACAGTTAACACCAACCATAAGTATCCAAAGTTCTCAACTCCTCTCCCGTCAAAATTTTTGCTTAATCACGGAAATCTGAAATCAAACAGATGTTCTCCGATAAGAAATACCCCCGCCGTCCCAAAATTATTGTCCAGTTGAGTTTTTATTTTTAGTACAAAGTAAACTAAAAGTAAAAATCCAAACTGGACAATAATTCTGGGACAGAGTAGAAATGCTGTATCATAAACACCCAAAGTCTTTCCTCTTCGGAAATATTGTCAATTCATATATTCTCCTATACCCTCTAGATAACGGGATTATAACATCATAACGGAACTTAAAAAGTTTCCACAATTCAAAAAATATTGACATTGGGTAATAGACCCAAGAAATTATTAACGAATTTAACATTGAATACTAAACATTTCACCGAAATGGATGAAAACCCACGAGTAATATCCACATCTCACATCACAAAATGCTTAATAAATACGAAACAAGTGCAAATTTCCTAAGCAGGGTTTATAAAGGTGTACTTGAATGACATCTTCAGCTCGGTCGTTGCACCTGTGGGCTTTGGGTTGCCTGTGATCGCCTTCCGACATGCCCCATGGGCTCTCTCTTCTGGGCACTGGTCTTTCACTCATCTTTTTCTCTTCTCTCTATTTCTTAGTTCGGAACAACACTACTAGTTCCAGTCATCAGTGAATCGGCAATTTACCCAAAATTTTCAGAGTTCAGACTCATCAGAAATAATTTGCAAGACTAGACCTTTATGAATTGTCTTTTAGCTTTTTATTTCCACATAGAAAGATATAATAACTTCTTTTGCCCAAACAGTTTTTTGTAAATGAACATTTAACCCCTCCTTGACTTGTTCAGAGATCCCTTTCTCTGTTTTTCACTATTATGAAAACAAGCCATATAACCAAATCTGGCATTTCTACATCAAAGATTTGAGCTTTTCTAACAAAACCCCACAAACAAAATCAAACAAGAATCTTTCCGAAAATGGCAGTTCTAACCAAGCTTGTTGATGCAGTGCTTTTCCTATCCTTCCTTACCATTGCCATAGCTGCCCCACTGATTGATTCTCAAACAATTCTCCCTTTACACCTTTATCCCACCATCTTGGTTGACCTGAAGAGTTGGTACACCAATGAATTCAGTGATTTTTTGGTCGCTGAGAAACCCCATTTCTTTGTTGGGCTTATTTGGCTCGAGCTTCTGTTCCAATGGCCTCTTGCTTTACTTTGTCTCTATGGTCTCACAACCTCAAAATCCTGGTACTCCACCACCTGTCTGATGTATGGATCTTCCGTTTTGACTTCCATGGTAAGTTGGTATCTGCTTTCTGTTTTTGGATTCATGCTTTCTTTTAATGGTGTATCGCATCGTGAATACTTTGTTGAGTGAAATTGGGATCAATGACGGGTTTTTGCATCAATATGGACATGGTTTTTTTGGAGGGCGTTAAGAGTTATAGGCCATAACCTCAAAAATCCAGATTTTGTTAAGTCGAATCTGAAACATGGATTTTCATTTTGGTAGAAATCGAGTTGATTCAATTTTAAGCACCAACTGTGAAATTGGCTGAAATCAATCAAATGTGCCCGTGCAAAGAACTCACTGGATTAAACTCGTTAATCTTGCACTTATTAGTGTCTGCTTCGAGAGTTCTGGAAAAGGCGAATCATTTGTGACTTAGGTAGTTTATGCTTTTGAATCTTACCATTCATTCCATTGTCACTGAGTTCTGCGTTATTATTTTTTTTTTAATTATTTGAAAGCGTTCTATGTTATGCTGAATTACTATTTCGAGATCGGTTTTTTTGGGTCATTTTCTTGCCATAGTTCTGGCTTGGTGATCAATGAGGGAAGTAAAGAATTTGGTTTGTAAAACAGACTAACTGGATGCTGATTGATTTGGACTACCAATTTCAGAGCCCCCTGATCTGAACAAATATTTGATTCGTGCTCCTATTGTTATTCCATTATGGGTTTGATTTGATGCCTTTTCTTTTATTTTCAACATCAAAATGATCATTGAAACCGATGGCAGATATTCACAAGTAGACATGCCTTCCTAACCAGTTTTGGGGTTTTCCCATTTTCTTTTTATTGGGAGTTTCCTAAATTGTAGAGCTTGTGTAGAGATAACCTGAAGAGTATGACCCTTTCCTCACAAACGACTAATTGAGTTGTGCAAAGGAAGAAGATACAACGTGCCAAAACTAACTAGGTTTGTGATTGGAGTTTTGGTCTGGCCAAGGATGTGCAAGTTACTCTTTCATTATATACTAGATAGACTACATTTGTAAAGAGAAATATGAATTCACCCTGCCTGATTTTCTCATTCTGCAATTGATCTCAGGTTGCAATACTAGCTGAAATAATCTTGTCGAAGAAAGCATCTGATGTGTTGCTAAAGTTATATGCCCCATTCTTGGGCATTAGTGTCCTGGCCATCTTACGCGGGCTGCTCTCTTCTCACCCTGGAAAATCTGGAGCCATTGGCCGAAGATCTGCATTGAATAGGAAAAAGAGGGCTTAAAAAGGATTTTCTTGATGCTGAGGATCTGTGTCATTAGGTTGAGAAATTTTTCTGCACTTGCCAAAAATTTTGTTGTGAGATTCATCTTTTACCATTTTTCTTGGAGTTCTTAAAATCTTCAAGCCTGTTAGTTTTTCATTTTATGTGACGAGAATCTCAGGTGTTTGTAACTTCAGTTTTGCTGATCCAGAGAGTTTTATGTTGAATCTGAAAGAGGGTAGGTTCTGCTTTATTTTGAAGAAAATCTTGGTACAAACATTTTGTTTCCGAATTCAACTGTGTTTTGTGTGGATAATCGTGAACACTTGTGGTTCATTTGGTACTTGTTTGTCACATTGTTTAACAATGTTTGCTTTTGAATACATTGTAAATGACTGCAAATACAGCTACAATTGCTTCTGGTTTCATGTTTGCTTCTGGTTTTACGTTTTAGGAAAATCCCAAAGATCTAAGTTAGCATAATACAGAATCATGACGGTAATCACGATTCATGGAACATAGGATACCTTTGGATCATCTTCCTTAATCCCACCAAAAAAGAAAAGAACAGAAAGCGTTTTTGTTCAGCCGGACAGCCATAGATGCTGTTCCTTTTGGGTCCCTATTTGAGCACCAAGAATCTGAAGAAAAGCTGTGCTCACAAACAGAATGGGTAATTATGTCAAACTCATCGATGCTGCTCTGTTCTGCTTCTTCCTAGTCATTGCAATAGTAGCTCCTCTGATTGATGCACAAATACTTCTTCCTTCGAATCTTCAACCCGAGTTCTTGGTTGACCTCAAGAACTGGTATGTCAAAGAATTTGATGATTATTTCATTCTGGAAAGGCCTCATTTCTTTGTTGGCCTAATATGGGTTGAGCTTCTCTTTCAATGGCCTCTTGCTTTGTTATGCTTGTATGGGATCGCAGCTTCAAAATCTTGGTCTAAAACCACTTGTTTGGTGTATGGATCATCCACTCTAACTGGCCTTGTAAGTCTTTTGCATAATATTTTCAGCTATTAGAGTCCTTTTCTCTTCCACAATGACCGAAGTACCATATTTGGGAGTAATTCGAGTTGAAATGTCACACATTTGTTTAGAACGCTCAATTCGAGCATTCAACGTATTAGGTAACACAGACCACAACACAAAAAAAAAAAAAAAAAAAAAAGAGGAAAAGAAATCTTCAAATTAATTTTAGGAGTGACTAAAAACAGGTTTAATGAATTTGTATTAGTCAACAAACATAGAGTCTTATTTATTATACTGTATTATTATTATTTTAATTCAACAAACATAACTTTTTTTCTTAAACACGTCTAACAAGAATAAAAATGACAAATATCATCTGTTTTGTTCCGTACGTTAAAAGAGTTTTATTCTGTGGTTTCGTCCCACGTACATATAGCTTATGAAAACCAGTTTTTCGAACAAATTTAGTGTCACAATTCATATAAGAATTTATTTTGGAGCTGAAAATGTTGATTTAATTTCTACCAGTTTTTCACATATGGACTGATAAATAATGAAGGTCAATTTATGGTCGTCAATTCACGCAGGTTGTGTTACTAGCAGAAGTATTAGGGTCCAATGGAGGAAGGCACAAGCTGATGACTACTTTCATTCCTGTTTTGTGTTTTTGCATCCTATCAATTTCACGCGGCTTGCTTTCTCCATCAACGACATCTAAGTCATCTCCTCAAACAATGTCGTCCAACTCGAATGGGAAGAAGAATGCTTGAATTTTGTGTGGAAGATTTTTTTTTTTTTTTTTTTTTCTTTCTTTCTTCTTGTGCTCCTTTTGCACATTTCTCTCGTTTCTAATAGAGCAGCAGTTATTGTGGAACTATAAATTTCAAAATTTCATATACTCGGTCTAAATTTAGCGTCTCCAATTTATTTACGCACGTACACAATTTTGATGAGATAAAATTGTACATATTTTGTTTTGAATAGCTAGTTATGATATAAAATGGAATTGTCACGTTTTTGTATCAGAAAATTCTAAAACACTATTATTTTATTCCAACACCTGAATTGAAGACACTCTCTCTATTATTTTATACTGGCTAACAAACGGCCGATTTAAGATTATAAACTCGATATTTGAGATAGTTTTATTATATGAGAAGTATTTTTTTTTTCTTTCTCTTCTTTGTGTCCTTGTACAAAATTTACATTTGGCTTACACCAAAATCAGATCAAAATTGAAACCATGGAGTGAAAAATTAGATTAGCATGCGACAAGACCATAATAACTAGAAAAATATGTTTTCATGTCTATCTTATTACTTTTTCCTTCTTTAATTTTATTTTTATCTATCTTTACTTTGATGATGATACTCTCTCCATTCCCTACCAAAAGACACTTTAAGTTTCAAAATAATTATAGCATTTTTTTTTTTTTTTTGGGTTTTGGAGACGAAGGAATTATAAGTAGTCTCTCTGCGAAGGAGATCAAGGAAGACGGATGGTAAAATCTGGTTGATGGTCACCTGACTGAGAAAGCAAGGAATGATTTGGAGCCACAAGTTTGCGGGGATTGTTTGTCGAATATCATGGAGAAACATTTTCTTTCTCTGAGACAAGATTTTTCAAAAAATTAAAAATGTCATGCAACAACTGCACTTTGTTGAAAGCGACAGAGCATGGGCTGCACTTGCATGGGGTTGTATTGTATTGTATGTTTTGATTGATTATATTTCAATATTATATTATACATCAGTGAAAAGAAACGGAAACTTTAATAATATTGCTGGTCACATGGTTCACGAGACACGACAATAAGTCAATACCAAAAGTTGCCAAATTGAGGACAAGTTTAGCGGTGCAGAATGCGTTGTGGGTTTTTTCAGTTTCAGAAATGACACTGATTCCGACGATCGGTATGCATTCTGGAATCTGTACCGCTAGCTAGATATTTCCTGCATCAGCAAATCATTGATTTGGTGATAGATAGCTGGGATCTAGGCACTATTTACAGTTCCCACTAATTAGACTGCTCTTCTGACGCGTGATCATGAACATTTTTCTCATGGTCAAATAATTCAAGTTGACATTGATTCCAACGACTGATATGCATTCTCAAGACTGCCGGCAAAGCGCCAGAGATTATTGATTGATATTTTTTTTGGTACCGTACGACCATTTTTGTTAGGACTAGCCATTTTTATGGTTCAAAGTTAACTACCTCAGTTTCAAGTCGATTGAGCTTGTTTGTATTCAATGATTGTGCTGTAAATGTAAATTTTTTTTCCCATCTTCTAGATTTTTTTTCCCTTTTAACTAAACCGTCCATATATAAATAAGGATGAAATATTAAAAAATTAAGAAATGTAAATGAGTCAAATTCGAATTTGCATTTCATAAAGTATTACAAGTAATTACGACGGACACATCAATCATTCTTAACGTGATTGATATCAATATGCCTGTTTTGTTTTTAGACTACGCATGAAGCAAAACTAAGGCTTTGTTTGTTAGGATTTTTTGATGATATTTTCAAAATATTTAAATAATAATTATCTCATTTTTGCATATTTTTTTATATTTCTAATACACTTTTTTTACATTCCCACTACAAAAAACACCTAAAAACACACATTAAAAAAATGAAACAAACATACCCAGATTATGCGATAAATGGATGGAGAATAGTACAGCTCATGATATTCAGCGACTAGTTTTGTGATTAATTGATGATAACCAGTTTGGTACTGAATTCTAAAGCACACAATGATTAATTAGAAAAAAGAAAAAAAATACTTAATTATTCTCTCTGTCTACAAAAAAGTTCAATATCAAAACTCAATGTTTTTGTTTTTTGATACTACATATTTCAATGCCTAATGTGTACTATCTTTTGGAGACAGAAAAAGTATATCATATTTTAACTAAAATAATATTAATAAAATGAAAATTAATTTTCCTACATAGGAAGGAGTATTTGCGAGGAATGTATGGAGTTTTTTGCTTGCATGGGTTGGAGAATATTTTTGCGCAAACTACTCAAACCAATTCACGTATTTCCCGTTCAATTCGACTATCAAAACCTTAACAATTAAGCGGAGAAACAAATTCCATATATCACTGCCCTTCCAATAATACTTGTTCCTTTATTGAATGTTGAGCTAACATTAGGTGTCTTTTCGGCACAATAGACGGTCATGTTAGTTCCTTAGGTACAACCTTAAAATGACCATCCCCTTTTGCATATTTTTTTATTCTTTACCTTAAACAATCCCAAAAATGGCTACATCTTTTAAAACTAACAAACCTCTCTAAGCAGGGTTTGTAATCAAAACTGGTGGCGGCAATATCATACTGCAACATTTTCTAAACTATGATACATGCATGTCTATTTAAATATTTCTCTAATCGGTAAAATTTTAATCAACACATTAGCTATTTTTATGTGACAAAATTACGATGAATAACATAAGAAAATAGTGTAAAATTGTAATGTAAGAGATATTTTACCGATATTTTCATGTATGGCTTGTGTAATTTTAACTTAAACTTACATTAATTTCATCAATTTTTAATTCCTAAATCTTTTTGCCTCGTATCATCTTACATCTCTAACTGATTCGTTTAGTTAGAGTCACAGACAAGTCGAGTTTAAAACTTGGTCATGAGTCACATTCATGAAGCCACACGACAAGTCAACTTTAAACTTTGGTCACGAGTGAGTTACATTTTTACCACTTAAGAAACTATGGTTAATTTCTGCTAAGAAAATATTGTCCAAATTATCGTTATTCGTATAGAAATTCCAACTGAATACGCGACTATTCTAATGTTCAAAGTTCAAACGGGGTGGCCAAATTGAAACTCTCTAAATCCAAAATGGTGTGCAAAATGGAGACGAATATTCCTAAATATCTCACACCCCGTGACTGGCGAGATACACAAAACAAACTCTCCCCCAATACACCGCCTCTTGCTGGCTCTTACCTTCCATTTATGGACAAAAAACACCTCAATTTACAACCAACCTTCACAGCCTCCAGAAGTCAAGTCTTTTTTACAACAACTTATAAACCATAACTCTGGTCCCCCTTCTCCTTACCATCAAAACAATTCCTATATAAATACTCCTCCCAATGCGTCCTTGATTCCATAAAAAAATTTCTATCACTTTTTGCTTTTCTTTCTTTTTTTTTTTGCCCCCTTTGAGGTTTCAATTTTCTCTTAAATAACCCCTTCTTTGGCCTAGCAAAGCCAAGTAAGATACATATGGCTGGATCAATTAGCCAGTCTTGCTATACAAACGCTTCATCATTTGAGCACTCACAGAAGAACCAATCCTTGGGTTCAAAACATCATTTGTCGACATTTCCCTTAAACCAAATAGCTCTAAGAAAATGTGAAAGTTTTGGGTCAGTTTGCTTACCTACGAGGAAGCCTTTGTATATTTCAGCCGTTAGCAATTTTGGTTACATTGATGAACCGAAGAAGGAATCAACCAAAACCCGTGAATCGTTAGTCCAATGCAATGCTTATGAAGCTCATCGATCGCAGCCCATTGTGCCGATTAGTATCGAATTCGACCAGGAGGCTCGAGAAGCTGCAGCTCAGAAGCTGAAGATTGGGTTGTACTTTGCCACTTGGTGGAGTTTGAATGTTGTTTTCAATATTTACAACAAGAAAGTCCTCAATGCCTTCCCGTTTCCATGGCTTACTTCGACTCTGTCCTTGGCTGCTGGTTCTCTGTTGATGTTAGTTTCATGGGCTACAAGAATTGCTGAAGCCCCAAAGACTGATCTTGAGTTCTGGAAAACTTTATTGCCAGTAAGTTCCAAAGAAATGATTTCTTGGTTTTTCTTTCAGCCCTCTTTGTTTTGCTCTGTTTTTGCACCCTCAATCCATCTCTTGCCATCTTGAAGAATCTGTTTGGAGCAGATCAATTGTGTATACGATTCGAAACCAGTTGATTATGAGTGGAGAGATTCAGTGATCTTAATTTGTTACTGAATTGTTTTTCAGGTTGCCATCGCTCACACAATTGGTCATGTAGCAGCAACAGTGAGCATGTCAAAAGTTGCGGTTTCATTTACTCACATTATCAAGAGTGGTGAGCCTGCTTTCAGTGTTTTGGTCTCCAGATTTTTGCTAGGAGAAGCTTTTCCTCTGCCTGTTTACCTATCACTTGTGCCGATTATCGGAGGCTGTGCACTTTCTGCTGTTACAGAGCTCAATTTCAATATGACTGGTAAAGCTTTTCGCAATTTCGCCATCCTAAATTTCCCCTCCATTATATAAACATTGGCCTAATTGCTGATTTTTTCTGCTGAATTTTTTTGTGTGCAGGTTTCATGGGAGCTATGATCTCAAACTTGGCATTTGTGTTTAGGAACATATTCTCAAAGAAAGGAATGAGTGGGAAATCAGTAGGAGGAATGAACTATTATGCTTGCCTTTCAATGTTGTCTCTGTTGATTCTCACCCCTTTTGCCATTGCTGTGGAGGGTCCTCAATTGTGGGCTGTTGGATGGCAGAAAGCAGTTTCTCAGATTGGACCTAATTTTGTTTGGTTAGTTCAATACCATGATCAATATGTTCTTTTTCCTTTGATGAAACTCTTTCAATTTCTATGGTTTTCTTAGTACTTAAAAGGTGTGTTTTTTTTCTCAGGTGGGTTGTAGCTCAAAGTGTGTTCTACCACCTCTACAATCAAGTTTCCTACATGTCACTCAATGAAATTTCACCACTAACCTTTAGTGTTGGAAACACCATGAAGAGGATATCTGTTATAGTTTCTTCCATTATCATCTTCCACACACCAATTCAACCAGTTAATGCCCTTGGAGCCGCCATTGCTATACTTGGGACATTCCTCTACTCACAGGTAATTATATTAACTTTTTTATCATCTTAGTTCCTATGTACATTCACAGATCAAATGAGGAAAACAATCTAACTCGATTCATGATTCTACTGATTCAGGCTAAGCAGTAAGTGAAGGGACAGTAGAGATGTTTCAACCAGGCACAAAAATGGATGACGGGAGTATTTGAAGAAATAGAAGGGCCATATCGGAAGCTAAAAGGGGCACCTGAAAAGTGCTGGAGGGGAGAAGGGTTATGTATGTAACTGCATGAAAGACAGCAGTTATTAAGTAAATTTTGATCTAATCATGTTCTTACTTGATTCTTAGCTAGACGGGTTTCAAGAAATGGTATGCAAGAGAGATCTGTTAGTTCTTCTTAGCATTGATAAATATTTGGAAATGTAAAATTTAGTGTTGATATTCATCTTCGTGTAATGGAATAAAAAGAATGTCAAGTATCAAAAGCTTGTGTTGCCTCAATATATAACTCAAGTTGATATAGAATGTTAGACAGGAATCAACAACTAACTCCAATTTGCATCGCCTATAAAAGCTACTTCTTATGTTTGGAATAGTTCGAAACACTACCCTGATTAATCCGGATCGAGCCAGTAAAAAATAAGAGTGTCTAAGCAAAAGCTAGTTATGGCAGACTCCCAAATATTGGGAAGAAAGTGAGACAGAAATCACAGCTTCAGGATCAACAGGGACATGAAATGGAAACTGAAGCCGAAGGCAAAATGGAGAAGGAAAGACAACAAAAACAGAATCGGAAATTGTTGCAGGTAGGATGAAATCTCAGATGGAATTGTAGAAATAAAACATCTTACAGAAACTCTCAAAACATGTAAAAAAAGAGTAAAAAAACAAACAAGTAATGGGATCAATAATAAAAAGATTGTTTAGGATAGTTTACCCCAAAATCTGAATGACTCTAAACAAATGGAAGATAAGTCTAAAAAGACTTAGGCCCTGTTTGATAAACTAATTAAGCACTTAAACTTATTAATTAAGTACTTAATTGATTGGCACTGTTTGATAACACAATATCATAACAACTTAATTGCTTAAGAACTTAATTTATTAAGGACTTAAATTTTAAGTGTGTTTGATAACTCAAAGTAGGATGTCTTAATAAATCAAGTGGGTCTGAAATGCTTGTACAAATGTGAGCCTAAAAATAAGTGATAGGCCTATCACTTATGTCTGAACTGAATTCTTGAGACGATTTTTTTTTTCTATTTATTTATTTTTATGTTTATACTTTTGATATTTTATCTTGAAATATTTTTATTAATCATGATGTCTAGTTATAAATTAAAATTTATGTAAATTATTTTTTATTTAATAAATATTTATTTTTATAGAAAAATTAAAATCTATTAAATTCCATGATCAATATATCTTTACCATAAAATATGAATTTTTTTGACAATGATAAAATATGGCATTATTATTAACTGAAAAAATAATAACATAATAAAATTTAAATATTTTTATTACATTATTTAATAATATTATTATTATTTTTATTATCATAGTTTCATATACATCAATTATTTTTTTAGATAAAATTATAAGTCGGGATACTTTAAATTTCAGTGTTCGGACTTCAGATTTCAGACATTTCATTCAGTGTTTAGAGTTTGGTCTTTATCAAACACGACAAACTTAATCAATTCAGTACTTATGATTCAGTTTTCAGATTTCAGATTTCAGCCCCAAATTAAGTTTTATCAAACGGCCCTTAATTATGAAAGTACTCATGCATGGTGACCCTTTCAAAATGGTTCCACAAATTATTACATCAACAGATACGTTAAACAACAAATCTTGAAAAGAACATAAAGATATTGTTTGCAGAAGATCCCGAAGCTCTACCCTCTAAGTTTTGCAACTATGCAACTAAAAGGGGAGAACTCTTAACTTGACCTCCCTTATTTATTTTTCAACTGCCCTGCAACAAGAAATACACGAAGTTTGTCAGAGTAATCTTCACAAAATCATACAGATTTCAATGACCTAAAAAAGTTAATCGCAGTTCTAGAATTAAAAGAGTACAACAACTATACATATTTGGTATTTTAGTATGGAGGGGGACTAATATAATTGCAAACAAGCTTAGTTTGAAAAAGGAAAAAAATGTCGTGTAAAACTTACATTTGTAAGGACGAGAAGATCGCGAAGCAAAGAATTTTTGATCGTGTCCATTGTACACTCGATGACCTTGGTTAGAGATGCAATATATCCAGTGTTGGAGAATATGGATGTGATCTCCGATGGATCAACTAGAACTTGGAAAGTCATTGTTACAAGCGATCCCCAAACTCCTGATCCTGGAGTCATTTGAAATGATGTGGTGAAAGTCCTTGAACTGGGATATATACTAATCCCAGAAGGGACGAGTTCTACATTATCCGGCATTTTGCCTACCAATAAGTTCCTAGTTGATTAAGCATCCATCCGGGCGTAAATGAGGCAAGAAGATGTTGGATCGGTGATGCATTCTTCCAAGACCAACAGTTCATCATCAGGTCTAGTGTTTGCATTACTCTGCACAAATAAGAAAGGAATTTCATGTATATATTGGAGCAGTTTTAAATTGCGCAAAAAGTTTTGAACCAATACCAAAATTTTGCTATTTATGATTCCAAATGGAGGTGAATCAGATCATCAAGTCAAAACAAGATCTTCAACATAGTTTAAGTCAAGTAATAGCATTTTCGAAGTAGTTGAAGGATTGACTTACGCTGATCACTTGAGACAACGAAACACAGTTGTCTACTTCATGGCCATTGGTAATACGAACAATTTCCTGAACTTCTCCAATGGCCTTAACATCCCACTGTATAATGAAAAAGGTTTGGAGTTTAGAACATTAAGAGAAATGAACAAATGTCATTCATATTTTTACTCATAATTTGGTTTTGACAGTACCTCTTTTTGAGTATTCTTATCAGAAAAGAACTTGAACACCTGTTTATGGTGGATTGGGAAGCCAGAAGGAAGTTGTGGCACATAGGATAGTCTCAGGGAGCTTGCTAGGAACATTATTAGGCCAGATTCAGGTCGTGAATCTGATTTCTAGGTTGCATTACCCATGCATGTGGAGTTGAGAATGTGAATGCACCAAAGTAATTTACCACCATCTTTTCAGCTAACTTCAATATATCTCTCCTAGTCTTTGGGTCCCTTTCCACTATCACAAAAAAAAATAAAGATATGAAAAAGACTGTAATATTAGGAGAACTTATTTAGTTACATAATACGTTCAGACTGATATTAATTATATCACCAAAATTTCGAGATAGTTAACCAAATTTGTGTTCCATGCAGTGATTAAAAAGTTCGAATAGGCTTACCAGTTATAATGTTGATGTCATCAGGGGGGGGGGGAATTCGTCGCAGCAGCGAGAGAGGCAAGTCGTGCACATTGTCTAGCAAGAACTGCAAGCCATCGCTCTGCCCCAAAGGCAAGAAAGGAATCAACAATAGGCTTTCCCAAAGGGTGAACTCCTTGATCTTCCACTTCAACATGCTCAATCCAAGTAACCTATGTAATGTAACAAGAACAATAAGCAGTAAAATTTATGAATCTGGATGGCGAAAATCAATAATAGTATGCATTTAAGCTACTTCGCGCTTTGTAACTGAAGAAAGCAAAATAAAATAAAATAAAAAATTCTAGAAAGAACGCAATTATGTGTGTTGTACTTTAGAAAACATAAACATATGGGATCTTATTAAGATGGTATTCTATTTATAAGACGGATAGAGTATCACGTACCCTGGAGACACCATTTGAAGCTCCTTGGATGATACATCCTGATGGCATCTTGCGGCACTTCAATGAGCCTGCTCCATATTCGTTGTCATCAAAAGAGAAATCAATCACGCTCCATGTATTCGTTGCAAGCCCTTCTACAATGTCTCACCAAAACGGTTTCCCTTGTGGGAATGGTTGGTGTGAGGGCTCGATATCCAACAGACAACTGAAATTTTTTGAAGAACTTTAGATGTTCTTTGATAGAACCCTAATCATACATCATATCAAAACTTCAAAATGGTTGTTAAATAGTATTGCTTTTTTTTTTTTTAATTAAATGAAAAACTTATTACAGTTTCTGCTACAACAATACATTTTGCAAAGGGCCCTTTTTTTAGTGTATTTATTATACTGTAAGAGGAAAAAAAGTATGATCCTTTGAGTAGTGGTAGATTTGTCACATCAAAATAATCAAATAGTAAGAATTTCTTTGTTTGTTTGTTTGTTTGTTTTATTTTTTTCAAGTGCCTGGTTTAATAAGAAGGCAAACAAGGGAGGAATATTTGTCTTACCACCAAGGAGGAATTATCATAGTTTCCGGTATGCCCTGCTGAGATGACATCGAGGATTGCAACCTTACTGATAATGTTAGCAAACAGAGCTGAAAACTTCACCTGTGACCCAAATTTTAAAGGGATATTACTCATAGTTGTTACAACTTATCTAAATTTTTGTAAGGTAAATTTGACTCGTTAAATAATGATAGAAATAGTAAATTCAACAAACACGATGAATCCGTTACTAATACTTATGTAATGTAGGTACGATGTGAATATAATACATGATATGATGTTTGTTACTTCACTATAATAGTTTGAATTAGTTAATGTTATTTTTTGGAGGGGAAAAGGAATCACCAAAAGAGAAATTGGGATTTACCATGTCCATGAAAAATGTCAACCAGGTGGAAATGATCCATCATGAAAATCTCGGTATGTCGGGTTCCCTCCACCTTCACAGAAGGCGGTCTCATGACATTGGCTACTGTTTGGAACATGTCGCGATGAAACTCCTCATTGATCAGGAGTTGCCTATGAACAATGTTTGGAACCCACAAAGGAAATCCAACTAATGACATCTGGACCAGTTGATTCATGCCGGAATTCACTAGGTCAACAATGGCATTTCTCCTGTCTAGGTTTTCAGAAGGAGCAGGTAGTTGTATTGCAGTGTCGGGAATGGCTGTCTGAGGGTTAAGGATATTTTGGTTCTGATTAGAACCAAACTGTGCAACAATAGCTGAGGCCTTGTTGATCTTTAAAAAAGTGGAAGAAAAAAAAGGTTTAATTAGAAGTCTGTGATTGATTACATATGGCATTACCAATAGATGTAAAGATTTGTAATGTAGTGAAAATGTTTGATTGTACTAGCAAATGTTATTTATTTATTTTTCAATATTTACCAAAACATTTAGACTAGAAAAAAATAAATAAAATAAAAAAGTGCTTTACTTATAAAAGAGAGATAAAATACTATCTCATCTCTCAATCTAACATTCTCAAGCCTTAAATTATTGACTTCCAAAGCAGAATGCGGGATAGCTTGTGGATCCCCACACTCAGGGCAGCCCCGGCCAGCTAAGTCGGAAATTGTTGTTCTCTGCGTGAAGCCTTTCGATCTCTGCTTTCAGCTGGAGCCCCATTTCACGTTCATTACGAGCCTGTAAATTAGAGAAATTCAATATCCGTAACTATTTTCAAGTGTTCTATAAATTCATTCATACTCAATACAAGCGAAAAGGAGGTTTAACAATGATTAAAAAAAAAAAGAAAAAGCCTACCATTGAAGATATTCAAGAAAGAACACAGTCACAGTCACAAAATCAAAATTCTAAACGATTTAGACAAAGTTTGAGGACTCGACCAGGTAAGTGCCCTTAAGAATTGTAAAACTTAGTAAGCCATTTAATTAAATGGAATATTGTATTAGTATTATTGAAATTTGAATGCAGTGCTAAAAGAAAAATAAGCTGAAAGCAATATTTACTTTTCAATAACAAACAAAGAGATAAACAAATTGCTTTTGACTTTTTTTTTCTGTTTTTTTTTTCACTCGCAATAAAATCTGTGCATTGGATATTTTTTTTCCATATTTCCTGAAAATTAGAAACAAATGGTTATTATGGCTACCGAATATGTCAATAGGGTAGGTAAGTAAGCATTGGCTGTCTAGAAGGGCCGACACGGCAGGGGTTGGTACGATTAAATGTAAATTATCTCGCCTTATTTATAATCAATCATATCATCATAATTATTGAAATATAACATAATTTCCTTTCAAATTTGAATCATGTACCATATTTTAAATTATGGTAATCTCATTTTTATACTCAATACTTAAAACCGGAGACATAATATTTTCACGTCAATGATGCTAAGTTGAAAGGGAACAAATAATTTTAGTTGTATTGAAGGGAAACAATTGTTGGTGCCATACAATTTGCAGTTCGGATTAACCATAGATAAATGAAACTAAGCTACTGATAATAACAAGCAATCCGGAGTTAATTAATCACGGGGATATTTTTCTCATTCATATAAAAATACACTTGTAATATATTTTGAAAAACTAAATAATTTGAGTTTTAGGGTGGCAATTATGCCCATTCCCAATAAGTACCCATTGGGACTCCATCTATTGGTAAGGAAATTAATCAAATTACCCACCCATTTATAAATTGCACACTTAGTGGGTAGTGTTGAATTTGGCGGGATGTAAATGGGCGGGTTATTGGGTCCCTTTTGGGACCCAACATGACTAAATTCATATTCCATTGACAATACTAAATGGTAAAAATCTCTTTGTTTTTGTTGTTTTTGAACGAAAGTTGTTTTATTGCATTTCGAATAGAAGAAATTGTTTTATTTCATTTTAATACATCTTTTCTTTCTCCGTTTTCTCTTCATGGCTAACTATTTTATGTTATATACCGTCATTTAGTACTTTGAAAACTACATTAGAATGGTAATAGCTAAGAAGTTGATGGCTATGCCAACGAATCCTAACCCTTGCCCATGGGAACAAAATTGAGCCACCGTAATGAGAAAATCCTACTCACATTTAAGAATGATTGTTTGAAATTCCCTCCTTGATTCGTTGGTTGGTTTTTTTTTTCCTCCAGGAATTAAGAAACATTTGGAGAGTTTCACATGCTATTTTAAAAATAACAAGGTAGTATATAGTTTTTTCATTAGTTATAACTGCTAGAAAATAAGTCGTTTCCTTTAAATTTCAATTATATATATAGAATCATTCTATTCCAAAAACCAAAAGAAAAAAAAAATCATTATGTAAATAATCATTGATTATCAACACAAATATATTCAAAAAAATTAATTCTATCGCAACAACTTTTATCATAAATAATTAAGTAGTTTTAATGAAGTCGATTATGCAACTCTGGTCTCATCATATGAAAATTAAGTGATATGTACCTTTCAACCTTAGCTAATTAATTGATTTGTGATTTTTTTCCTACTTATCTAGTCGTTAATGATTAATGACATAGGTCAAAATATTCTAATTAATCAAAAGAAAAGAAAGAAAAAATGATAACAAATAGAAGGGAAAAAAATTTATAGTAGAACTAAAAAAAGAAAAATGAAAATGGAAAAAAATCCCTATTAGTGTATATATAGATAAGGTCATAATTGTAATTATATATCTATCATTGTACTATATGTATGTAATGCATCAATACAACAACCCTAAGGGGTTTTGACACTTTCATGGTATCGAGCCTCTCACTGGGGCCGTCAAATATTTTAGGGTTTTCCGCCGTTGCTTCTCTTCTTCACCGGCTGTCCAATTCTTCTTCTTGTTGCCATCCAACTCTTCGGTTTGCCTTTTTTATTTGATATTGATTTCAGCAAGGTCTGTCTTTCTTGATTCCCCGCTCATCCCTATTGTGACCCTCACCGGCACTACTCTCTTCTTGCCGCTGCCGCTATTTTGTCCGCCGTTGGAGTGCCGCGGCAGTTTTGAATATCACCGTACTCACGTCTCTTTGCTATTGTTGTCCGGATCTGTCACCGGGTCTTTGCGTCTAGACGTCCTCATCACTGTTGCTGTTGTTGTCCTTCGCTGCTGCTATCCTTCATCGCGGCTGCTGCTCGTCTTCTTCCCCACCGCCATTTGCTGCTGCTTTTATTCTGCTTTCTGTTGGTGCCTAAGCTATCATCAGTTTGTTGTTCATGGTTGATGCTTCTCCACGGTTGTATATTGCTGCTGTTGCTTCTTGATAACATGAAAATTAGACCCCTTTTAGCAGGCATTTCTTACTCATTTTCACTTATAAATTAGTGTCAATTAAATAGAATTAGTTTACTTTTGGATTAGTTTTGCATTTTAGGGTGATTAGAGGGTAAATATTAAATATCATCATAAATTCGGGTCAAAATGTGCAAAAGAGCTTCAAAAAGGACCAGAATTGGAGCTGCTGGAAATCACAAGCTGGATCAATCGGAGCTACCAGAGGAGGAATCCTTGCTGATGAATTAAAGATGGCTGCAACTTGATTATAAGTTGTTGAATTATGCAGCAAGAATCCAAAAGAGGAAGAAGAAGTTGCAGCCTCTCAGTAGCTGCTGATGGTGCTGTTGTGATGTTGCTGCTACTGCTGCTGTCAATCAGGGAGAGCCAAGGGCAAAATCTTACTGCCAACGGAAGGATGTGCACTACCATCACTGCAAGTTGCTGCTACCTCAAGTAGAAGAAGAGAAAGAGGGAGAATATGAAGAGAAGGTAGCTGCAACTCTGCTACTTGCCACCTACTGCTGCTGATGATTGAAGTGAAAGAATAGCTGCTGCAAGAGGAGAGAAATGATGCTGCAAGTGATCCCAGGAGACAAGGAAGAAAAGATCAGAAATTTGAAGACTAAAATCGGAGGCTGAAACATAATGATGAAGGGAAGCATGCTGCTGCTGTTGATGCTGCTGCTTGACCTCTGCTATTGTTGCTGATGAGGGTTAAAGAATGAAGAAAAAAAAGAATTGTGGCTGAGAATTGGTGGAGAAATGCCAGAAAAGGATACTAAGAAGAGGGGCAATGATGAGAAGAAGATGGCTGATTACGGCTGAAGAAGGAAAAAGGCGGCCATGGAAGACAGCAACTTGCAACTTGAGCAAGTTACTGAATAAACAAATACTTCAGCTGTTGCAAGTTGCCTCCTCCTCTCTGCTGCCTAGAAGAATAGCCAGGAAAAGTAACCAATCCAAGCCTCTCCAATTCTCTTTAAATAAAACAACCAATAACAGTTGTAAAACAACAGATTGGGTAGTTAGAATCAATTAAAGGACAAGTAGCTAGTTAAGTTAGTTAGATAGAAAACAGAGTAGCAGCTATAGTAGAAGTGTAGACTGTCACTCGGGCAAGTGACGAAGTACACTTCCCTAAGTGAAGCAGACAGAATCTACCCTGCTGCTACTCTCACCTTTTTTTCTAACCCTTTTGCTCTTACCATGTGTTATCTTTTCTACTCTGATGCTATCATGTTTAACTCAATAAATGTGCGTAGCTAAACTCAGTTAAGGGTCCAAAACCCGACTATCTATATGTGAAGATTTTGATTCAGTTTCTTATATGATCATTAGTTCCTAGTTTATGTGTTTGAATTAACCTTTTAGTTAAACTGACCACTTAGTTATTAGTGCATGCATAATTATGGAATCCTGAGAGGGTGAACATAGTTTTAGAACGGCTTAAACTAGTCTATGATAAGGGAGACAGCTTTGACTGCAACCCTTTGTTTTCAATTATCAATGAGAGTTAGTTGATTGGCATAGGTGGTTAATGAGGCTTAGGAACTTAATGGCTTGGCTTAATAAATAATTATCACTGAAAGGGAGGTAATTTGGTTAAGTTGGGGCTCTTTACTAGTAATGAAAGGGATAGTAAAGAAATAATGTGCCTGATCAAACGATGAATCATAAAAAAAAGGGACTAGAATGAATCAAAACCGGATCATATACATAGGAAGGTGGATGACCCTTTTGTTTTCTCACTCTGTCAAGTGACTATTCTCACTCTCCCAAGTGACAACCTGTTCAGTTTATCTTCCTCTGTTTGCACAATAATTAGATTTTAAGTGGTTCACT